CAATGGAAGTTCCAAGCCTATAAAATTGATATCTTCCATTCTTTCTTCAGAAAAAAAAACTAATTAAACCCCTCATTCATCACTTGTGCTAACATATGCCTATCTGAAAGTGGTGTATTAATCAAAAAGGAGTTTAAATCTTGAGTAATATACACAGGATGAATAGAAAACCCATCTAATTTAGATTAAAATGGCATTTTGAACTGAGCAGGTGTTAAAATACAAGATTACAGGAAAATGCAATGAGTCAGTCTCTGAATAAACCTAATCTGTCTAGCTACATAATCTGATCAGAAAGCCATAGGGAGACTGTGGCCTTAAGGAAAACAAAATGCTGGATTTGCTGCTTTTACTCCATGGGAATTTTAGGAATTCCCTAAGTGGGCTGATGGCTGACAGGAATTTTGTTTTCAGTCTCTTTGCTTAAACAAATACTGTACTTATTTAGTTAGTCCATAAATAAATTGAAGCAAATAAGTTTATGATCAAAGCTGAAGTTCTACAGCCTTTCAAGCTGCAGCATGGTTCATTCTTGTTGTCAATAGCTTAAAAATGATATTTGTGTCTGCTTGTGCAGCTGAAGCCTGGGCTACTGGCATTAGGTTGTAGAGGTAGAGTGCTCAAGGGTAGTAGAACAAATTCCTTCCCAGCAAGATAAAAATACAAGATAAAATAGGCAATAGTGTAGCACTGAACTTGAACAGCACACTGACCCTTGAAATGTTAACTGTATGGGTATTTTGATTTTCAGGTGTACACAGACTCCAGGAGAGGCAATTCATCTATAGACACCTCTGTAAAATCCTCAAGCCTGTCCATCCTATGTAGAGCTTCTGTCCACAGCAGAGGCAAAGGTTACAGCAGGGAAGGCTGTGACATGGAACCGCAGGGAGGCTGAAAAACAGGAGAAAACTCAAGGGAAAGGAGGAAACCTCTTCCCAAAGAATTGGGAGTGGTGATATCTCCCTTTTCCCCCCAGGTGAAGTCACAGCCTGGTTATTCCCAACCCTGAGAGAGCAGAAAGGAGGCATGTGCAAGTATTTCATTTTCATGCTGTGTTTCATACATGCAGCTTGCACTTTTCCTAATAAAGAGTAGGGGGCCAGGATGAGTGGCAGGATTTGCTTTGCCAGAACACACTTGGAGCTATTCCAGCTTGGAGGTGTGCACAGTGCATGCTGTCTGGGAAGGCAGACACACACTGACCTGGGTAGTCACACTTGAATTGCATCAGGATAAGCATTTACATAAATGAAAAGTGAGAAGGAAGTGTTATAAAGCTTTACCAGCACGGGAAGATAGAACTATTTTGCACAGATGTAAAGTAGAATGATTGGTGGAATTGTGCTCCCTGGAATTTAAAGTCCAAGTATTCAAAAAAACCCACAAGTCTATATCCATGCATAAAGCATGAATGTGCAGGCTCACAAGTACACAATTGTATTTTAATACAAGAAGTGCTTTTGTAATTGTAAGGTATGCACAGTCAAAGCCCTGTTTATTCATGCGTCCTGAGAAAGGGAAAAGCTCCTGGGAAGCCAGGCATCCCAAGGATGGGTGATCAGCACTATCCAAATAACAGAGCTACCTTTGGTGGTTCAAGCTGAGCACTTCAACACTAAAGTACTTACATTTATTTTTTGAAGACCTTTTTAAATTTTCTTTTCTGTATGTCAAACCAACTACTCCCTGGAAAAAGAGCACTTACACTGAGAGAAAGTTAGGACATGAAGTTTGACAGCAATTTTGGTTATTTCCCAGTACCCTTTCTAACGTGACCTGGAGAAAAGTTCAAGTTAAACATTACATGAAACTAAATATTACCTAATCCCAAAACATAATGCTGAAAATTACAGTCTATAGCAGCATTTAATTTTCTATTGTTCAGATCCTAAATTCGGAAAAAAAAGAGCAGAAAGTTGCATGATCAAAAAACTGGTATGAAATATTAGTGGTCACTAAGCAGCTGGAGAATGAAACTCTGGAGCAGGGCACCTTGGGGCTGAAAATCTCAGCTCTGTTCACTCAGATAGTGAATGTTGTCATTGCCATTGAGACTCCAGACCTATCTAGAAATAGTATATTTAGTTTCCTGTATCACTGACTTTATTTATAAATTAAATGGCAGAATAAAACAGAGGTCTTAGATGCTCTTTCCTTGAGCCTTCTTTTCCAATGCTCTTCTCAAAGCAGTCTTAACTAAATAAAACGTCTCAAATCCTGTCAGCTGGAATAATCCCCATGAAAATTCCTGTCCCCTTTTAAGATTTGCCTAAAGGAGTCTTTGCAAAATGGAGCAAAATCACTCCACCATTCCTTGTGGTTATTATTCATAGAACTATTAATTATTACCTTAGGCGTACAGATACGGTGTATAAACAATGGCAACACATGAAAGGCAAACTTTGCAGAATCTGTTACTTCACCTCAATTACAAAGCAACCAATTTGAAACACAAATACCTGCTAGGAAGAGTTACTGGAAAGGGAGAGAAACATCCTCATTCATAAAAATACAAGCTGTTAAATGTTTCTCTCTCATTTACCCCCCTCCTTTAGAGCCAAAACAATACTCTTTCTCTGAATGCCAGCAGATGGGTTTGTCCATCCAGCTGGAGGGAGTAACTGGAAAGCCATAAGAGGAATGGCTGAGGTCACCTGGCTTGTTCAGCCTGGGGAAGAGGAGACTGAGAGGGGAAACTTCATAGCAGTCTGCAGCTTCCTCACAAGAGGGAGCAGAGGAGCAGGCACTGTATCAGGGGAGGTTTTGGCTGGATATTAGGAAAAGGTTCTTCCCCTAGAGGGTGGTTGGGCAGTGAGCAGGCTCCCCAGGGCAGTGGTCGTGGCCTCAAGGCTGCCAGAGCTTAACAAGCATTTGGACAATGCTCTCAGGCACAGGGTAGGATTGTTGGAGTGTTCTGTGAAGGACCAGGAACTGGAAACAATGATCCTTGTGGGTCCCTTCCAAGTCAAGATATTCTTTGACTCTATGAAATTTTCAGTCACAGTTAGCAGAGGTACAGCTGGCTCTCAACTGTTCAAACACTGTGTATGCTTCTCCCCAATCCACATGGAAAATACCACCTTTATGGCATGTTTTACATTCCTGTTTTCACAGCAGAGTACTTACTGAATACTAGAATTTCTGCTGCTAGCCTGGGACTAACTGTCCTGAATAAGCAGTGAGATTATTTGCAAGAACTTATAAGCAGCTTCACAAGGAAATGCAGTAGGACTAAACTAAAAAAATCATAAGGCAAAGTGCTGTGGAGCAAAGGCACTCTAGTAGGGCACATGTAAGGAACAAAGACTAAGATCTGCTGTGATTCAAATGAAAAGATATTTGCTGCTTCTTCAAAAATAATGCCTGGCCTTTACATGCTCCAGGTCCCTCTGGGAACAGTGGATACTGGTACTCCAGATTGCAAGGCAAGATGTTTTCTATTACCATCTGTATGGCAGTTGTCTTTTGTCAAGTGGGCAGTTTGCCTTATCTCTCTCTGAATGATCACAATCACACCTCCCTCAGGAGGGGACATCTGCTGATAACAGACTATTGAATGTCACTGCATGACTGATAAGAACTATAACATCCCATTGGGAGATGCTCTGCCCAGAGGGAGAAGCCAAGCATTCCTACCCAGATATAATCTGGAGGTACTGGAATTACTGCATAGCTTCTCCACTGGATTTCCCAGAGGAACAGCAGCTGTCTCTTCTTCCACTAGATCTTTGGAGGAGGACTACACCCTCTTCTACAAGATCTCTGCTCTAGCAGAACCACACCTGACACTCCAGGAGGGCTGCAGCCACATTTCCAATTAGACAGGGTGTCAGGTTGAGTTCTGACTGTCAGTGTTGTTCTAGTGTACTGCATTGTTTTATTTTATCCTTTTATTTTCTTCCCTATTAAAGAACTGTTATTTCCTGCTCCCATATTTTTCACCTGAGAGCCCCTTAATTTAAAATATATAGCAATTCAGAGGGGTGGGGAGAGTTTACATTCTCCATTTCAGAAGAAGCTCCTGCCTTCCTTCCTTAGCAGACTCCTGTCTTTCCAAACCAAGACACACGGTAAGAACGTTTGGCCAAAGTCAGGAGGAGTTAGGGTGCCATTCAGGGCCTGAACATCCAGGCATTTTCTTTTTCCTGGCAAACAGCACACCTGTCCAAGCCATGAGCTGAAAGCTTTTCCTCAAGAAAGCTGTGGGAAATGGTGTCAACAGCTTTACTAAACCCCAGGTAGGCAACATCCACAGCCTTTGACTCACCCACCGAGCAGGTCATCTTGTCACAAAAGCCAGGTTGGTCAAGCAGGACTTGTCTTTCACAGACCCATGTTGGCTGGACCTGATCCCTGGTTGTTATGCACGTGCCAAATTATGGCACTCAGGATGGTCTGCTGCACCACCTTTCAAGGTACCTGAGACTTTTTTTCATTATTTGTCTCTAGATTTCCCTGGCCATCCAGTAAAGGAGATTCTCCTTAGCCCTCATTTTGTGGTTAATGTATTTATAGACACATTTGTTTTATTGTCTTTTACAGCAGTGGCCAGATGAACTTCCATTCTTCTTGTTTTCTCTCTGCCTCATCACATCCTTGTTGATTTCCTGACTTGCTGCCCCTTCTTTCAAATATTATAAACTCTCCTTTTTACTCTGAGTTCCAGACAAAGTTCCCCTCCCTCTGGCTCTTCTTTCAGCGTAGCCTGTTTCTGTGCCCTGAAGATTCCTTCGTACAGCACATCCAGCCTTCCTGTGCTTCTTTGCCCTTCAGGACAGCCTCCCAGGGTGTCAGAAAAATTTTGCAAAGCACTTTGCAAGGTTGTACAGTTAGCAAAACACCATTCAAACTGCTCTTGTGTTGTAGGAATAATAAATTGTTAAGGATCTCTGGCATTCAGTTGCAAACACTGACCTTTATCTGCAAAGGCTTTGCCTTAGACATCGTAACAGCACAAACCATGTTAGGTCTTTGATCTCCTATGACATGCATCCAGCTCACCTGAGGCTGTCCTGTTGATCCGAAGCCTTGGTCTCCGCACTCCCTAGAATCTGTTTTGGGGACAGAAGATTTAAAAAGGATAAGTTGAGCAATTCTGGGTTTTTTCAGGTATAGTCATGGGTGGAGTAGAGGTGGAAACCATTGCATGTATTTGTCCAGTAAAATCTGCATCAACAACATCAGGGTGCACAATGATACCTTGCATTGTGGTACTGGACCTTCCAATTAACAATGCACTCAATCCTTTCCCGATAGGCGCCTGAGCCTTGAGAGGGACCTTATGTACCTTTGAGGTACTTATGGTTACTGTGAGAGAGGTGACCACATCTAGAGACAGGGACAACACACACCCCAATGTCCATGTGGCAAAAGAGCAAGTTTCTTCTTCAAACTCCTCTTTATAAAGGCAATCTGAAAAACCCAGTCTGGATAAGTCATTGGTCTGATCTTTTACACTGCCCAGCTCCCAGATCAGTGAGATGTCTGCGGCTTAGGACAGAACATAATTGGCTGAGGTTCCTGTCACTCAACTCAAGGGCTGGTTTTATGGAGCCAGCTCAGTATCTTATTTATAGCTGAATTAATTGCCCAGTACAAATCAGCTTGTACAGTAACATCCAGGAACCTCCTGAACTCTCTCCTCTGTGCTGGTTGTATTTTCAGCAGATGTCTAGTGTGTTGAAGCCACCATGAAGACAAGGGCTGGCCATCATGAGACTTCTTGTCTGCCTCTTGGTCCTCAGTTGAGTGATCTGTACCCAGCTCTCACCTGGATATCTGCCCTGTTGGCATTCCCCACAATTCTTACCCACCAACCTTCGACACTTTCATCATCACTGTCAAGCTCTAGACAGTCAAAACACTCCCTCACATACAGGACTACCCCATCACCTTTCATTCCTTGCCTGTCCCTTCTGAAGAGTTCACCACCAACCATTGCACCATTTCAGTGGTGCCAGTCATCCCACCATGTCTTTGTGATGGCACTATGCCATGGTTTTCCTCCTGCAACATGTCTTCCAGGATCTCCTGTTTGCTGCCCATGCTGCAGGCACTGGGGCAGATGCACTTCAGTTGGGTTATCAATCCCAATGCCTTTTTGGGGAGAGTTCCTGAGTGACCATTCTTCGGAGCTTCCATGGTTTCTAGCACATCAATAACACTTGCACTCTTGCTGCTTCATGGCAGTGAAGTAGACATTTTCTATGTCTGCTGAGATGGTAGCCTGAATGACCTCACTAACACACCATCCTTCAAACAGTATCAAGCCACTGCCAGGCTTATCTCAAGTGACCTGGTTTTTATCCCCTTCCCCCTTCAAATCCAATTTAAGGCTCATTCAACATGCCCTGCTAACTCCTTTTCCCTCTGAGACAGGTGTACCCAGTAGGCTTGTCACCAGTAGGCTTGTTGTCATCTAAGTCATCCCATGATCAAAAACCTCTGTTGGTGACACCTGGCTTAAAGCCAGGGATTTGTCTGTACAACTTTCCTGTTTCTAACCTGAACAGTGGACCCCCCAGATCAACCTCCCTCAGTTCTACTGCTGACCATGACAACCTGTGGTTGGGAATACGTCAGCTGGGGTCCAATGTCCTGGCCATGTCCCTTTCCAACTCCTTTCACACCCCCACCTTACTCGCTGGTGGGGCAGCATGAGGAGCACCAAAGGCCTTGACACTCAGCATTGACTGAAACATCACTGGTTTATCAATCCTCCCTCCAGCAAAAACCCAACCCACAGCCCCAGGGAAGAAATGGAACTTATCCTCTGTCCAAAACAGAACATTCTCCATTCCTTATTCTATGCCATGTACATCCTGCTCAGGTCCTGAGATATCCAATACCCACCAGCCCCTTCCCACCCTTAGCTAATATGCACAGATATAATTCCCTTAGTCTATGGACCACTCCTATGAAATGCCCATAAAATGCCCTTAAAATGTCCACAAATGTTCACAAAGTCACAGAATCACAAAATGGTTTGGGTTGGGAGGGACCTTAAAGCTCATCTTGTTCCAACCCCCTGCCATAAACAGGGACACCTTCCACTGGACCAGGGTGCCCTCCAGGCCCCATTCAACATTGAACATTTCTGGGGATGGAGCATATACCTGCTCTTGTTTGGCCTTCTGGATGGCTGCAGTGCCTCCAGGAGTGTACCTGCTCTGTTGGGGGTTTATGCATGGCCACACACTTTGAGGTGTTCCAGCATGACCTCCAGCACAGCCACAGATGCTTCAAGGTGTACTTTCTCTGGCATGGTCTTATCCTTGGACCACATTCCCTTCAGAGGTGCTCCTGCTGTACCATGGACATACCCACGGTCACCAATGCTTTTGGGTGTCCTGCTTCCACATGGACACATCCACAGCCACCAATGCTTTGGGGTGTCCTGCTTCCACACGGACACATCCACAGGTCACAGTAAGCAGAAGCAGCCACTAATGAGAATCAGACTAATTTACAATAAGGCGAGCACAGGTGCAGTGTGGTTTTACTTTTCCTTTCTCCTGGCCTCCAGGGCTGCCCTGGCCAGGCTCTCCTCACAGCAGATCTTACTCCTCATCCCAGTTGCACCAAGGGGACAGTGTGTCCTCCTCCCCACAGCTCCCCCAGCTGGATTCCTGCCATCAGCCAGGGACAGTGCTGCTTGCACTTCCCCCACTATAGCAAATCCTTTGTGTGCCATCCCAGCGAGCCCCAGGAACCCTCCTCCTCGCTGTCCCCAGCACCTCCTCATCCCCCTGACCCCCCATCACCCATGGATATCCCCCTATATCTGGTTGTTGTCCATCTCCCTACTGGCTGATGGTGCCCTTTGTCTGGGGAGGACCCTGCTTCTGATGGACACAAACCCTGCCGGTATGTGCCGGTATGTGGGGGTGATGCGTGAGCATGGCCAAGTCACTGCTGCCAGCAAAGGAGGAGTCAGAGGTGGCTGAACACATGAGTGATAAAGTCTTGGGGGTTCACTTTGGCTTGGAAGTGAGCCTGGGGGCCTAGGTGTAGGCTGCCATCCCAGTGTCAGGAGCATTGGCCCCATGGTCCCCCTGCTTTGTCTCTGACCCTCCAAGTGTGCTGTGCCCTGCTGTGCAGACCTGGGTACCCAGGGAGAGGTATTCCTGCTGACCTGAGCCACAGCCTATGCACTCCTCAGCAGCATGAGGGGACTGGGGCAAGCACCACATCCCAGGTCAGGAGCACCCTGCACCCATGCACCAGCATGTCTCCCCAAGGATATGCTGCTGCAGGCTTGTTCCTGGTGGGTCACACAGCAGGGCAGGTCTCAGCTGGTGCTGGCATCAGTGTCTGGGTCAGTGCCAGGACGTATGTAGAGGAGGGGCTTTGCCCTCTGATGTAGCTGGGGTGCTTCCCCCAGCCTGCCTGCATCTCTCAGCAGCCCCTCCCAGTCCCCATCACCCTTCCTGACCTGACCTTGCTCCTGCTGCCACACCTCCCTAGCCACTTGTGGAACAACCAGTTGCTTCCCTGTCCACAGCACTGCAGCATCTGGGGGCTTCCCTTAGGGTGGCTCTGCCCACCAGGAAGCATCTGCTGGCCAGGACTCTGGCCATTGGTAGACCCCCACACCAGCAAGACCTCATCAAGGAGATAGGGCTGGGCATGGCTCCCACCTTCTTAGCTACTACTGTGTCTACGGGAGCATTCTAGTGCCACAAACCTATCCATGTTGGCTGCTCCACCTCCACCTCCCTCTGGAAAATGGCAGTTGCCCTTCAACTGAGATGTCATCTTCATGATGGAGACCTGCTACAAGTCCCTACCGGGGACTTTTCCATGAGGACAAGGAGGTCCTCATCCTACTTTTCCAGATGTTTGAGGTTGCTGACATCACCCTCTTCCAGCTCTGTTTCTGACTGTGCTCATCACCTACAACTGTGATTTTGTGAGTTGATGTCCCTGCAGGACAGTGTCTCCTGCCATCGGGCCACGGGGACATGTAGCAGGGAATGGTCCTGTCCCACCAGCTCTGCCAAGACAGGAAGGTCTCGATCTTGGTCGTGAGGTGGGGCGTGCCATGGGCACAGGGCTTTGCACATCTCCGAGCTGCTGTGACCCATGGTTTGCAGTGGGGTCTGTGGGCAGCAAAGTGTGACACAGTGTGACACAGTGTGACACAGCATGGCACAGTGTGACACAGCGTGACCCAGTGTGACGCAGCATGGCACAGTGTGACACAGCATGGCACAGCGTGACCCAGTGTGACACAGCATGGCACAGTGTGACACAGCATGGCACAGCGTGACCCAGTGTGACACAGCATGGCACAGCGTGACACAGCATGGCGCAAGATGGCAGGGCATCCAGGGCTGGGTGCCATGCTGTGCAGCGAGGAGGCAGGCACACACCAGGCAAGGAGAAGGGGTGGGGGATGGAGCCACCAGCATCCTGGGGACAGTAGGACAGGAGGGGGGACACAGAGGGTCTTGCATGGCAGGTGTCTGTGCCCAGCTAAGCCTGGCCATAGTGCCAGTGTCCCCAGGACATTGATTGAGCCTGCCAGGGGCCTTTGCTGAATGGCAGCTGTGGTGTCAGGATGCAGCTGTGTGGGGGATCTGTGAGAGGGGATGGAGGCTGGAATTAACTGGGCTAGGAGGTACAGCAGGACTGCCTTGGGCAGGTCCCTGACCAGGTGGCTGCTCCATTGCTTGCCTTCTCCTGGCTCCTAAGAGTCACTGTGGGACTGGGGTGTTCCCAGGGGACTCCTGTGGCTCCCTGGGCTGAAGGCAGCTCATGGGGGCTGCATCTGGAGGCTTCTCCATCCCCTTCATCCCTATCCTTCCCACATTCTGAGCATCCTGAAGTGTGATGTCCATAGCCCAGGGATTGCTCAAGGGGTTTGGGATCTGATCCCCAGCCTGTCCCACAGCCCAGAGGAGTCGCAGCCCCCACAAGCACTTGGGGGAGCAAGAAGGGGGCTGGGACACAAGAGCAAGGGCCCTGCCAGCACAGGATGGTTAAGGGGGCTGCCCCATGGAGCAGCAGATGGGACTCAGCAATGCCATGCTGAGGAACAGCCCCAACCCCCCAAGTGCAGAGAGGGATGTGATGGCCCCATCTTCCACTGTGCCTGCAACCCAGGGCTTCTCCACCCACCCTCTCCTCCAGGGCAGGGCACAGCCATTGTGCCAGGTACTCCCTGTGGCTCTCTAGCCCTTTGGAGGCAGGAAGGGGGTGAGGAATGGATCCTGCCCTTCACAGGCGCCAGGGCTACCTCCTCTCCCTCCCTCTTCATCCCATGGGTGCCCTCTACACCCCTGGGCAGCACCATCCCCAGGATGCAGGTGACACTGGGCAGCCTTGATGTACTTTAATAAACTCTGGGGTCCCAGAGCCAGCTATGGGCAGAGCTGGTTCCAGCCCAGGCAGCGCTCCTGACTCAGCTTGGGGCACCAGGAGCCCCACTCACAGTGGGGCCAGCACACGTGGGGCCGTGCAGTCCCCAAAGCAGGTCACAGAGACGGGCCTCCCTGGGGGTATCACACATGCATGCAATAGTGTGGGGCTGTCAGAGCAGGGAGCTGCACTGCAGGGTGCTCACCCAGCATGGGAGCTGCCCCCTGGCTCAGCCCAGGGCCCCACTGTTCCCAGGGACAGGGGCTGGTGCTTGGGACGGCCATTGCACCTCCCTGGTGTCGGCACCGAGGGGACTGAGCACCACGCAGGTGAAGTTGGTGTGCAGGTGCTGCTTGTTGAAGGAGCTGAAGTGCAGGTCACGGTGCAGGACCCACCCTGAGCCCTGCAGCTCCTCTCTGTGAAGCCAGCAGGGAGCAATCAGTGCCTACTCCAGATGGGCAGACCCAGGGGCCTTGTCCCAGCCTGGGCTGCCCTGCTGTCACTGCCCCTGTCCCCATACTCACTGCACTGTCCCCTCACGCACAGCCCCGTCCGGGTGCAGGCTCTCCACAAAGAAGCCGTTCTCCAGCCAGTAAAGCAGCGTCATCTCTGGAAGATCACTCAGTGCTTCACATGACACAGTCACACTCTCACCTGCAGCCAGAGGGGGTGTGAAGGTCAGGGGGGGCTGCAAACGTCCCCAGTGCCCCCCAGGTACAGGCACAGCCCCCCTCCCTAACTAAGGGGAACATTCCCCCACCTCATCAGCACCCTGAAATCTTGGCTGTGGCTGGAGGATTCACCTTGTGTCTGCTGGAGGCTGGCACAGGAGCTGAACCCCACTACAGCCTCCTCACCCCCAGGCCCTGCCATGGCCCCGAGGGTCTCTCACCTGGGTGAGGAAGCTCTGCTGGCATCCGCAGGGTGGTGATGCTGGGTGGCTGCAAGGCCATAGCACCTGGGGGAGCACAAAGGGGTGAGCTGGAAGGTTGAGAGTGACCCCAAGACATTTTTGTAGTGGGTGAGGAGGCAGGGTCCCACAAAGGGACGGAGGCACTGCTCATCCCCAGATCCCTGAACAAGTCTCTTGAGGGGCAGAGAGCCCGGGGCTGACCTTAGGCTCCCCAGTACCCCCCACTTACCTGTGCAGCAAGCAGCCAGGCCCCAGCAGAGCAGGAGGATCCAGGCAGGGCTTTCCAGGGGCTCTGCAGACAAAAACGGAGCTCAGTGCTGGACACACAGGGATGCTTCTCATGAGCTTGGGATGGTTCCCCCAGCACTCCCTGAGCCTGGGATGGTCCGTGCTCTCAGCATCCTCCCAGCTGGCCATGGTAACCCACCCAGCATGCTCCCCCCAGGAGTCCCCAAGGCGACGGTCCCGTACCCTCGTATCCGTCCAGCACCCCCCGAGTGTGGGATATCCCGTACCCCCCAGCATCCTCCTCCCGCGGTCACTCAGGTCGCGGCCGGTGCCCCCCAGGGCTGTCCGCCCAGCGCTCCCGTACATACGGACAGTCCGCGGCTCGGGCACGGCGCTCAGCTCGGCTCAGCTCGGCTCGGCTCGGCGGGGCTTTATGAGGCGGCGCGGGGAGGGGCGAGAGGCCGCCGTGACTCAGCGGGAGCCGCCCGCGCCCCGGCCCCGCCCCGCCACCGCACAGGGACCCGCACCTGGACGCTGCTGTGTGTCGATGTCCATGTCCCCGAGGCCCCCGAACCTGCCTTGTGTCCCCAGCACCCCATGCCCCCCGTGCTCTATGTCGCCTGCACCTGGGGATACACATCCCACATCCCTCAGGCACTCCCGTGATCGGCATCCAGGACCGCCCCCGCCCCTAGGGGAGCATCCATGGGCTCGACAGGGATGTGGGGCACAGCTGGGCCCCCCAGTGTCCAGCACACGGGGCGCTGGCTGAGTATCACAGGACTCTGAACAGGCTGGTTTGCTCCCCGATGCTTTGGGATCAGGGACAGGAGGAAGGTGGGTGAAGTCCCCAGGAGACTGAGTACGACAGTGGCTGGGAGAGCCTGGGTGTTGGCCCCTGGGTGTCCCAGCTGGAGGAGGACAACAGCTTAGCAGATAGAAACTGCCAGGGCTTTAGTTCTTGGCTGCAAGAAGCCATCTCCTATGTCCCTCAGCAGTCCCCCACCCCCAGAGCCAGCCCCTTGACAGCAGATGTGGTTTTGACAACCCACTGGTTACAAAACCAGGGGCCAGGCCCCACACCCCACTTCTCAGCAGCATCAAGGCTGGGAGCCAGTGTGGATACAGCAATAGGGCAGAAGCAGCCACCTGAGTCACAGGCCCTGGCAAGTCTTGGAAAATAGTCCCTGAACTCCGAGTGAGTTTTGTTATCCATTCCCAGCAGAGGAGGAGGGTGACAGGAACAGGAGTGTTATCTTGGAGACCTAGCAAGTGCAATACCAACCAGCTTAGCTCTGGATGCTACAGGGTGAAAGAAGTGAGCAGGGAATGCAGATGGGTGCTTGGGCATTATCCACCCAATATCTGTCCCCTAGGAGAGATGAAAGGAGGAACTTTCCATGCCCTGCAGCAAGGAAGACGATCAAGAAAAACCCAGGGCCACGTCTCCATTTCCAGGGCTCTTATTTTGGTGTTTGGCACAACACTGCAATGTGGTTTCACTCAAAAGAAAACTCAGAAGATTCAGCACGGTGCTGGGGTTCCCCAGGGGGAACACAGCCCACACAGCCATGTCAGCACTGTGACCACTTCCCAAATCCCCTGAGCCAGGAGCTGCCTTGTGCCCTCAGGGAATATGACTCAAGTCTCCACAAGCCAAAATACCACTGCTGGCCCTGGGATTGGGGACTTTACCCCACCCACTACCAAAAACTGAGCCCAAGCCCACTTGCCCCAGCAGGACCTTAGCATGGCTCCTAGCAGCAAGGCCAGGAGGATGTCATGGAGTAATGCTGGGGCAGGGAAACGCCAGCACCAGCCCAACCTTCACTCCATCCCTTTTATTCCAGTGCCAAGAGCAATATGCAGTGAGGGCGGACCTGCGCCCGGGGCAGGGGCACCTGCTCTTGGCTGCTCCTAACGTACCGCCACCATCACCCACAAGGGCACGGAGAGGAGCAGCACTGGCCCCACTCCATGCCTTGGCTGACCCCCCCGCCCCCCCCGAGCAGTCAGGGGACACTGCTGGACTCCAGGGAGGAACACAGAAAATTTGGGAGCATATAAAAGGGTTCCCCAAGGCAGAGCCCACCATCACCATGCTGGAGAGCAGCCTGGTTCCTGCTGGCATACCCGTGGCACCCAGAGCGGACCTGGCAGCTGGGGGTAGCCAGGTGACCTTCATCCCCTCTTTCAGGGCACTGGGCTCCAGCCTCTCCTCTGCAGCCCCCATATCCCATCCTCGCTGCCAGCAAGGCTGCTCCAGGGTGCTGGCATTGGGAGCTGACAAAGCCTTGGCTCTTCTCTGTCATGGCCTCCCCTGACAGAGTGGCAGGAAGGAGCTGGTGAACAGCCCCCAGCCCAAAGCTCAGCCCAGCAGGGCGCTGCAAAGGGCTGGACAGGGACAGGGAAAGGGGACAAGCGTCTCTTTTTGGCTGCAATAGAAAGTTTTAAATATGCTCATTAAAATAATTGCTTTTTAAAAAAATCCTCCCCTAGCCCCAGCAGGAGGGGCCCTGATGTTGCTGTCCTTGGTGGTGGCCAAGGTCCTGAGAGGTGACGGAGCAAAGCCAGCATCCCTGGTGGCAATGTCCTCTCGTGGTTCCGCGGCTCCCCACCGCCTGCCCTTACTCCAGCCCCAGGATGTAGTTGATTCCCTGGACCAGTCCGATGATCACCGGCTGCCAGGCCACCAAGTAGCGCAGCCAGTCCAGCAGCTGCCCATACATGACGTGAGGCCTCTCCCAGCTGGGCAGGAAGGAGTTAAAGAGTCGTGGGGAAAGGGGTGAGAGAAGCACAACCCACCCAGAAGCCACCCAAAAGCAGGGACAGAGAACACAGATGCCCAGAGGGATGGACAAGCACCCAGGAAGGACAGACATGAGTCCTCATGGAGGGACGGCTGTGGCCAGGCTTGCCCTGGGTTTTGCAGGGTCTCTGCCAGAGCCACGTGCTGCAGAGACCTACTGAGGGTGCCAGGCAAGCCTCTCACCCCTTGTGTGTTCTACCCACTGCTTCCCTTCCCAAAGTGCTGGCTCCCAGCAGGAGAAAGGATACGGATTACTAAACATCCTCTTGAGATCCACCTTCTCTTTGCAGTATGGACACGTCTGCTTCTTCCCGACAATGCACCAGCCCCGGATGCAGAACTCATGGAACCTGGGGAGTGGCACGTTAAGGGGAACTGGAAGAAGAGGGGGATATATGGCTCAGTGTGGAGGAAACCACCAAGGCCAAGGAAGTCCCCCCAGAGCCATGGAAACATCCCCCCATGTGAGGATGGTGCATTGCACAACCACAGCCCTTTCCTAGAAGGTGCAGCAGCTTCCAGGACAGCGGAAGGAGCTCATGGGGCAGCAGAACAGAGCCAGGGTGGCAGCATGAAGGCCCTGACCCATGCATGGGCACCAGGGAGACTGAAACTCTTCAGTGATGGTGCCCAAGCACTGAGAAGGTTTGGACAGCCTGGGAGAGCTCTGTGAACTGCATGCATTTTGGAAGCCTTCTTCAAAGCTTCCTGGAATTAACATTTAAGGAATTTCTCTGTAAGTAAGGGTCTGACTTACAAGTGCTTGCTATGCTCTGTCAAAAGGATTTGCATAACCTGAGCACAGCCTGAAGAAGTTACAGGAAAATATGAGGTGGCTGCAGATGACTCTGCCACGTACATTGGTGTCACAGAGCAAACAGACTTTTCCCAGAATATCTATGCTGCTCAAAACATGGAAGAATGCCAGGCAGCAGCAACAGGAGTCACTTCCTTGTCAGCCCTGGAGACATAGATGCAGGAGTGCCCAGCCAGCCATCACCCTTGAGGACCCAGGAGCACCAACCAGCTCCTCTGACAGCCACGCCACCCCAAGCTGCTGCAGTCCCAGGCCCTTGCACAGGGTCAGCCATAAATCTCACCAACAGCTCCCAAGAGTTAAATTTAGGCTCCTGTTCTGCCAGCATGACCTTTGCTCAAGCCCAGTTTGGAAACCACCTCGCAGGCAGTAACATACACAGTGCCAGAGGACATCCCATGTGTAGACTGAGTCACCACAGGGAAAAAACCCCACGTGCCACCTCAGCTGGGACTGAGCACCAACTAGGACTTCCAGTTTCAAAACCCAGTTCTCATCAATCAGCTGACAGAAAGGGCTGAGTGAGTCCAGTGTGCTGGAAACCCTGGAGGAGTTCTGGAGAAGGAGGAAGCTGCTGGGCTGTGGCCAGAGAAGGTAGCAATCAGCATGCTGGACCAGGGGGCTGTTTTCTGAGGAGGCCAGCAGTGTTTCCCCACAGTTCTTCCTTATAGACACTCGGACCCACTGCAATGCATCTCTGACGAGGGGCCAGTGTGGCATGGAGCAGGGATGCCTCATGTCCTGACCTCACACCATCACCTCTGCCAGAATATCTGCTGGGGGCACTGCCAGGCAGATGGGTCACAGCAGATTTGTCAAAAGCAGGTAAAAACTGAGGTGCAGCTCCATGACTCGGCAGAGGGAGCTGGGGATGAGAAGGAAGAGGAAACAACCACTTGGGAGTGGCAACGAAGTAATTTCAGGGACACCTCTTCCCATGCCAAGTCAGTGATGACACAGGGACAGATCACAAGCAAAGTCAGCTGGACAGCCTCGCTTCCCAGAACAGGCATTTCTTCACCCAGCACGGGAGAAGCCGTGGGGCAGGAGCTCCCTGCTGCCCACCCCAGCCTGGGGCCAGTGAGGCAGGGGGCTGGCACCTGCAGAGAAGGATACACGTGGTTGCAGGAGAGGCGGTAGGTGTTCTCAATGATCCCTTCCTCGTTGACATCCACGAAGATCTGCTGGCCGCAGACGGCGCAGACGCTGTCAGAGAGGTGCTTGGTGGGCATCCCTGAGGCGCTGTAGAACTGAGCGGGGGCAGAGCAGAGGGAGAGCAGTGACAGTGGCAGGCCACGTGTCCCACACCCGCGCTGGCACAGCTAAGCTCTAAGGAGGGCTGGGCTCAGCTCCCCACGAGTCCAGCCTTGGCCTTTGGGGCTTAAAAACCTTGTTACAGGTCCGGCTGTGGGAACAACTACAACAGGACAGCTGCTCAGTGATGCAGTGGCCCGTCACACCCCCTCCCAATGTCGAGGGGCCAGCCCTCTCTGCTCCTCAACAGCCAGGTGGGTTTTCAGCTGCCTGCCAGGGCCATGCACCCAGGGCAGAGACTGGGAGAGAGAGCAGGACAAGCTGGAGGTCACAGCTTTGATCCAAAATAACAACTTTGGGCTGCCAGTCAGATAGAGCCCCCACCTCCAGCCCTGCAGGTCCCTGACTCTCATTCGGCAAAGCACAGAGAGAGCAGCCACCCCTCTCCATTTCCCAGCCTCATGGCTCAGCACAGGGCTGACATAACACAGAGAGTGTGGTCACAAAACCAGGTCCCACACACTCCAGCTACAAGGGACCCCTCGGGTCATTGAGTCAAACTCCCTGCTCCACTACCTAAAACTAAACCATATGACTAAGGGACTTTCTGAACTCTGGCAGACTTGATGACATGATCATGTCTCTGGGGAGCCTGTTCCCTCTGGGTAAATAACCATTACCTCATGTCCAACCTGCACCCCCCCAATTCAGCTTCACTCCCTTTCCTCATGGCTGGACAATCACCTCCCCTGGCCACACATTGATGCCATGCCTGATGCACCCCAGGACACAGCTGGCACCTTTTAGCAGTCAGGACACACTTCATATTCAACTTGGTGTCAACCCTAACTCCCTAATTCCTTTCCATAGAACTCTCTCTGGACTCTTATTCCCAAATTTGTACCTATAACCAGGATTACACCATCCCAGGCAGGGAATCTGGCCCCTGTTAAATTTCACACAGCTGGAGCTTGCCCAGCTCTCTCTCCAAGGAGGTCACAGTTCCTCCTGGTTTAGTACCATCAGCAAAACATGCCTCTGGCAGAGCCCTGGCACAGCTTTGCTCTGAACATCCAACAGAGCCCTGAGAATCTAAGAGAGACCCTGTGCCAAGGTGTCCTAGTGTGGCAGGCCAGGGGCTGGAGCAGAACCTCAAGGAGCAGCAGCAGAAAGCTCAGAAAGATGGAAACACAAAGTCCAAGACCCTAAACAGCTGCTGAAAAGAAGAAACATGACCTACTCCACTGGTGTCCTAGGTCATGTATTTTTGGTGGAGTGGGTTATTTTGATACCAAGTGAGTGGGCTACAGATTTTAGGCCACTGCGTCCTCTGTCCACAGGGACAGCTAAAGTTGCAGCAGGTACAAGGAAGGAAGCCCACAGTGTGAATCCTTCCCTGGTGGCTGCAGGTCACAAGTTAATGCAAGCACAGTGGTGTCAGAAATGGGAGTGTTCATTGGAGATTTTAAATGCCCAGGAAAAGAAATATTTGTCAGTTTAGCAGGGCTAAACAAACCATTCCACTTCTCCATAGAATCAGAAAATGGCTTGGGTTGGAAGGGACCTTGAAGGTCACCCAGTTCAACCTCTTTCCATGGGCAGGGACACCTTCCACTAATCCAGGTTGTTACAAACTCTATCCAATCTGGCCTGGTACACTTCCAGGAAATGGGGCAGCCACAGCTTCTCTGGGGAATCTGTGCCAGTGTCTCACCACCCTCAGAGGAAAGAACTTCCTGTCCTGGAGATGGAACCCTGCAGAGGCTGCGCTCTTCAGGAAGGATCTCAGAGCAACTCTTATTATATTAGATCCAGCGACCCTTCCTTGAGGGGGGAATTCCCATTTGAGGGGAGCCAAAGCTGCTGCAGAGCCCAACATGTTTCAGGCCTCCTGATACGGGGCACAACTCTGGCCTGGGGTACAATCCACCGTGAACTCACCCCGATGGTTGAGGCCATGTAATCTGCACACATCTCAGCAAAGTCCCGTTCCAGCACTCCATAGTAAAGACCATAGAAGAGGAGGGAGATGCCAAAGTCCATCGCATCTTCTGGTTTGATTCTACAACAGAAAAACCAGCAACAGGGTTTTTTGAGGGCAAAGCCACTGTAATCATATTCTAGAGAATGTATTACTCCAGAGAAGCAAACTCTCTAACGATGAAGCTGGTTTGGGCTTGAGTCTTCTGCCACCACCCATGGACTGGCTGCTTCTTGCAGTATAGCAAAAAAAAAAAAAAAAAAAAAAAAAAAAAGCCACTGCTGCCCCCAGAGCTGGGGGAGCTTCCAACAAGTGAGCTGGAAGAAGGGCTCTCCAGCAACCCAGACCAGTTCAGGTGCCAGCATCCTGTCATCCTCCCAGGAGTGAAAGGACACCCCAATAGTGTCTTTGGTCCCATTAATCATTGCCAAGTAAACCGATTTTCCAGAGTAATAGCCAAAGGTGTGTTCCATGACATTGATTGCCCCAGGAGTGGGAGCTGAGAGATTCACTCACCTGAATAATAGGTTAAGTCCAAAAAGCGTAAACATGACAGCCATGTACCCCACGATCCCAGTGGCATAGCTGATCTTGTATATTAGTAGAAACCATTTATAAACCAGTCTGTAAAGCATTAAAACAAAGAATTTCATTACTTCATTTTTCCCTGAATGAAAGTGTGCCAATCATCTGAAGAGTTTTATTTTTCACACCTGTTGTGTTTTTGCAGACACTTCACCTACCCCTACACATGGACAAGAGCTTTACATTCCTAATTCAACCTGTCACGGGCTGCTCACAGTCTTGACTTCCAAACTAGAAACCTCATGATCTCCAAAGGCCATAAGGAAGCGTGCTGCATGCTGGGAATGCCCTGGGTGAGGACACCACCCCACATGGACTCCACCTTTCCACCCCCCACCCAGGTACCAGGTATATTGGGCTGGCTGCCAGCTAAGTGCTTCACACTCTTTCACATGAGCAGGGCTCTCACACTGCCAGGGTGCAAAGCTCAACACACATCTGTGCAGAAAAACTGGAAAGAGATCCTTGCAATGGTTACCCTGGGGCTGAGGAGTTTCCCAGGAACAGCAGACAAACCTGGGTGTTGTCTGTACCAGAGGCTTTCGAGTTGCCCGGAAGGTGACAAAAGCTGTGACTGCTGAGAAGAGCACCCAGATCACCAGGAACCGCCACCAGTTCAGCTTGATAGTGAAATACAGAGGTACTACCCACATCTGGAAGAGGGTCACCATCTGCACAAACAGAGGAAAGGCATTTGGAGCTTGTTCTCTGCTCCTCAAACACCAGAAGCACACTGTCAGCCGTGGCAGCCATTCTCTTGCCTGCATCAAATGGCCCTGGATTGCACCAGGAACCTGGGGAGGTTTGACCTGTGGCACCTAGAGAAGAGCTCAAAGCTCAGCACATGAGTTGGATAGGGAGCATCTGAGGGAGCTGGGGAGGCTCAGCCTGGAGAAAAGAAAGCTCAGAGAGGACCTTCCTGCTCTCTGCATCTACCTGGAAAGAGGTTATAGCCACATGGGGCTCTGTCTGTCCTCCCAGGAAACAAGTGACAGGACACTAGGAAAAGGCCTCAAGTTTTTCTAGAGAAGGTTAAGGTTGCATATTGGGAAAATTTCTTCCCAGAAAGGGTGGTGAAACCCTGGCATAGGCTGCCTGAGACAGTGATGGAGTCACCATCCCTGGAGGGATTTAAAAGCTGTGCGGATGTGGAACTTGAGGACAAGGTTTAGTGCAGGAGTAACTGCTGGACTCAATGATCTCACAGGGCTTTTCCAACTCACACAGTTCCATGGTTTTGTGAGGGAGTCAGAGGCAGCAGCCACATGGTTTTTGGGAGCAAAGGGTACAGCTGGCAGGAGAACACAGAGGAATCATATCCAGAGGAATGTATGGGAGATGATACACACAACTAGTGGTTGTAAGGCAGCTACATAAACCTTCACCTTCCCAGGATCCTAACACTGCAACCACAGACACCTCAGACAGGAATTACACAAGGCTAGAAGGTTTTGGCTTGCCTCTGCACTACAGCCTATTCCCAAAAGAATCTACAGCTGTGCAGCTGAGCTCCCACTGTGCTGCTGGAGGGAAACAGGCAAATAGGTTTGGTTTAAAGCTCACAGAGGACTACAGGTGCTACCTAGAAACATTAATCAATATTATTACTATGACCAGGAAGTTGCTTCATGTAACTAACAGACCCAGACAAGCTGGTGGCATCAGCAAGTGGCAGGTCTGCTCAGCAGAGTGCTGCAGTGTAGGAAAGGCATTTTGTGCTGTTCTTGTGAGGCAGTGAAGGCTTCCTGAAGATAAGGAAAGCCCCGTATCTCTCTCGAGGAAGACACCAAGGCTGTCACCATGGCGACATGATGAAGGAGAGAAAGTTAAGAGATACAGACTTTAGCTGGCTCAGAATTATGTGGCTCCTTTTCACCTATTGAGAGTTTTGTTTCTTTCTTATGACCGATGGGCAGTGAACGTGTCTGTTAAATAAATGCAAATACCTTGAAAAACTATAAAGGCAACATGTTGCTATAATAAATTGCTCTTATGCACCCTCTTGATGGAGTCTTGGTGCTTTGTGCCGTGTCATGCTCTATAGACATCACAGGAACCATCAAACCCAGGCTGCCAGCAGCAAGAAGCCCCCATTGCTTCCAAGGGAGCACCCACAAAATGCAGCTTCCCTTAGGACACCCGCCAGGATCTGCTTGTCCATCCCTGATTGAAAGCACTAGGTCACACTGAGTTATCTGCATCATTTCCAACAGAAACCTGAGGCCTTCCGAGACATCCATCCTCATCCTCAGCTGGAATCCCACATGTGCTGGGAGAAACAAGGGAATCAACACCAGACAATAGGAAAACCAGGAACACTCTCCTCATCAGCAAAAGGAGGGCATTGCTCAGCACCCCCACGCAGTGTGGGAGGCAGACTGGCTGTGGGGTAACTTACATTGTAGGAGCGAGGGTGCCGCTGCTTCCACTGCACCAGGAGGAGCTGTGCCACCACGAGGGTGGCGATGAGGATGAGCACCATCTCGGCATGCATCGCCTCGTGCCCGCGGTGCTTGGCGTGCATCCGGACGTGCTCCACCCTGCAACAACCAGGAAAAGGAGGCTGAAGAGCACACTGGTGCAGGCTGCATGCTGGGCTACAAACACCTCAGGAGAGCCAGGAAGAGCAGATGGAAAAACACCACTAAGAAGAATTGTGTTTGTGAACAATCCATAGGGGAAGGGACAAAGGCTGCAGAGAGAGACTGAGACCAGAGCAGCTTTCACTTCTACACTGTGAAAGCCGAGAACACCACCTTGCCCATCTGAGCGTGAAGGAGGTGGAGAACTCCCCCAGGTGTACCTGAACTAATGAACACAGAGTGCACAGTCAGCATAACTTGCAATCCCAGAATGGGCAAGGTTAGAAGGGACCACCAGTAGGGTCATCTCTCTCAACCTTCCTGATCAAGCAGTGCCTTCCTGGAGCACACTGCAACTGTTTGACCCAGAGTGTATGCTAATTCTCAATACCAAACCCTCAGCCCAGTTTTGGAACCACTAACACTGTTCTCCCTCTTGTCCAAAGGCTGGAAGGGTCAGGGTGGAGAGCAGGAGGAACAGCTGACATCTGGTAAAACCCCCAAAACCCCAGCAAATTGCTTCTCTCCATCCATGCATCCATGGAGCATTCTGGAACAAGTGATTTCCAGCCTGATACTCGCCAGACACCTGGGGTTTCTTTGCCCAGCTTGTGCTGTTTGACCAAAAAACACGGTGGAATTAAGAGCTGACAGACACTGATGAGGTCCCCTGCCAGTCATCTCCTCTTGAGGCTGAACAGCCCCAGCTCCCTCAGCCTTTCCCCATAGGAGAGATGCTCCGGTCCCCTCCCTCATCATCTCTGCAGCCTCCACAGGACCCACTCCAGGAGCTCCATGTCTCTCTTGTCCTGAGGAGCTCAGAACTGGACACAGCACTCCCAGAGGTGCCTCAGCAGGGCTGAGTAGAGGGGCAGGATCACCTCCTTAGAATTCCACTGGCCTCAGCCCACAGGGCACTGCTGACTCAGGGACAGTTTGTTCTCCACCAGGACCCCAAGGCCCTTCTCCACAGAGCTGCTCCAGCAAGTCAGCCCCCAGCCTGTGCTGGTGCAATACTGAGAGTCAAGTCTAACTGTGATTTTCAATAAGCATCTGGATTAAATTGGTTTTGCTAAGGAAAAAAGAGGAGTTTTTCAAGCCCCTTATTATAAGGCAGATATTGAAGGGCTGGAGGCTGTCCAGAGAAGGGTAAAATAGCTTGAGAAGGGCCAAGACCACAAGTCTGGTGAGGAATGGCTGAGGGAGCTGGGGAGGCTCGGCCTGGACCAAAGGAGACTTGGGGGGATCTTCTTGTTCTCTACAAGGCCCTGACAGGAGGGTGGGCCTAGGTGGGGGTTGGGCTCTTCTTCCAGCTAACAAGTGATGGGACAAGAGTAAATGGCCTCAGGTTGTGCCAGGGGAGGTTTAGGATGGATATTGGGAAAATTTCTACACAGAAAGGGCTGTCCAGCCCAAACACAGGCTTGTGGTGGGGTAGTGGTGGAGTCCCCACGCCTGGAGGGATTGAACAGACATGTAGATGTGGCACCTTGGGGACACGGTTTAGTGGTGACCTCGGCAGTGCTGAATGGTTGGACTCTATGATCTCAGAGGGCTTTTGCAACCTTAAATATTTTGTGATTCTATATTTAGCAGCAGTTTAAAAGAAAAAAAACTATTGCCTTCTAAGACAGTCCATACTTCCCCCCATCAAAAAACAGTGATCCTTTCCTGCCCCACTGTGATCACAAGCTGTGCTGCTGCTGCTTGCTCTGCTCAGTAGCAGCTCAGTTGAGCTGCGTGCTCCAAATCAGCTCCCAAAACTCACCTCCATCTCTCCTCTGGGGACAAGTGTGAAAGATCAATCTACAGAGAAAAAAAAACATCCATGAAATCAGCTGCTGGGAAACTCTGGATTCAGATGCTTTAAATAAGAAACCTCCAAATGCCCACAGTGCCAGCACAGCCCAGAGCTGTCCTTCACCTTCCCAGGAAGAGCAGCAACTCTCCCTGCTCCTCCACCTTACTTACACTCCCATATTTTATTGGAGCCAAGGCTCTGTCCAACATCCCATGTGACCAGAACAAAAGGACTGGCTTAAATCCCACATTCACAACCCAGCCAGGTGTCTCAGGGCAGAGTGGTGATCCCAGTCAAGCCAATGCTCCCACCAGTGGTAGGAGGCCAAAATCCCACTAGGCTGCAGGATAGGGGACAGTATGTCACACACCAGCAACAAATCAATGCCAATAAGATTTCAAAATCACAGTAAAAGAAAAATGTAGGCCTTGTTTTGCTGAGATAATTGGAAATTCCTCCCAAACATCACAGGCAGGAGCTACAGAGAGCAAGGGGAGCTGCTGTTATTAGTGATGATTGACAATGGATACTTGTATCCCATCTTCTCCAGTAAGATTCACAAAAACGTGAATACTCTCACTTTTGGACAGGGGAGGAATAAGGGGAGCTTCAACACCGCATTTCTGCTTTCACCTGGAGCTTTATATAGAATCATAGAACCACAGAATGCTTTGTGTTGGAGAGACCTCAAAGCTCATTTTACTCCAACCCTCCTCCCATGGGGACACCTCCTCTAGAGCAGGTTGCTCCAAGCACCATCCAACCTGCTCTTGAACACCTCCAGGGATGGGGAATTCACAGCTTCTCTGGGCAAAACCTTCCCTTGATATTGTGAAAAGTGCATATTATATGGCTCTACACAGATATTTACTATATGTATTTTGTTGTATTGATTAGTTGTGCTGTATTAACATTTTAGTAATATGATAAATGTGGTCTTGTAGTTAAAAGGTAACTTTTGAAGTTAAAATAAGAACTACGTAAGTGGGATTTTTTTTAAGAAAAGAATGAGGCACTCACACCTGATAGCAGCCACAGGACACCTAAATCTTTCAGAGAAAAAGAATTTATTGTTCTCTTATCAAAAGAAACTAACTTCTTCCCGCCTCGAAGGCGCTGTTAGGATTAAGAGGAAGAAGTTGACACTGACCAGACAGAATCCTGTGTTTGAATGGAATTTATGCATCATGTATGAGGTGTATGAATATGCAACAGGCTATTGCTTTTAAGGGTTAATCCTCTGTTAATGGGTGTCCTTTTTCGGGCTTATGTTGCCCAGAAGAAGGTACCTGGACCGTCGGTAACTCTTTGTCTTTATTGTCTCATATTGTCCTAATCCAAATTGTCAAATTATCATTACTCTAATTATATTACTATTTTTATAACCATTTTATTACTATTACTGTGAAGCTTTTAAACTTTAAAAGCAAGTGATTGGCGTTTTTTACAATATCTTCACCTAACTGCTGAGGAGCCTCCAGCATCCCTCATGTCCCCACCCAGGGTCACTGAGCAGGCAGCACACCCTGACCATGGCACTGGGGAGGGAATCCCACAGCTCTTCCCATCACCTTTTCCTGGTGAGACACAAACTCAGATTCAATCAAGAGCAGCTCATCTGGGCTGGGAACATACATGTGGGGTTTACAAATCCTCACGGTGCAGGAGACACTCCAGTTTTGCTGAGGCACTGGAGATGAAGGCTGGAAACAAGCCATAGACTTGCTTCCACAAACACAGACTGTTATCACTCTTTCCTGGACACGCCAGAGATGTGTACATAGGAACCAGCTCCACCTCACCCCACTGGGTACAGGGCCACAGGCTTGGATCCAACCTTTATGCTGGGGCAGCAGTCACCTCACCTGCCTGCTCACCATCACCAGCACACAGGTGTCTGCAGCAGCAGCTCTGATCACAGCCAGACTCAGCTGAGGATGCACAGCTGCCTTGTTTCCTCTGTGACACCTAATTTTACCCCAGGGTGAGGAGGTAGGGAAAAACACAGCACAGCAATCCATCTGCCTGATGTGGAACATCTGCTGAGCTTCACCCCAGAGCAACACCTGCGAGAAATTCACCCCTTGAGAATCAAGGCCTGAAGAAACACTCCAGGACTTAGATGCAAAATCTAAAGCAATGAAAATCCTTGTTAGAGCTCACTGAACTGTGTCAGAAGCCAAGGGAAGGTCTCACCAAATTCCCCAGCACCTCTGTTCCTAAAGCAGCCACATCCAGATCCATCAGTTCAGTAGTTGCAATGTAATTTGGAGCAACAACTGCCCCAAACAAACAGGAAAAAAGGAGATTTTAAAATGTTTGCTGGTCACTGCACACAGCAGACTCTGAGAATCCCCTAGTGCTTGCTGGCTCCAGCACAGGTCAATCCCTCTACAAGCTCTGAGAGTCACCCGGGTGCTCCCACTGCCTCCCCCCATAAGACCCACACTCCTCCCAGGCTCTGCCCCCCACCCTTGCTGGATGAAGATGTTTGACAAGCACCTTCCAACCACAGCAATAATCTGCATTTCTATACAGTGGCTCAGCTTGCTCCTTTGTACCACACCAGCAACCACTCCACAGTGTTGGTCCCATCTTAGAGACTGGGATATTCACCAGCCTCTTTCCTTTGGCATCTTCCCTGAATCTCCAAATTCTTCCAGCAAATGCATTCAAGATGCCTCAGCTCCAAATCCTGTGGAAACACTGCTGGCATTGCTCAGAGCAGGCTTCTCCTGAGCTGTGCTCCCAAGCCAATCAGGGATCTGTGGCCCTGGACACAATTTTCTCTCAAGTACAAGGAGTGAGCTTCACCAGATTCCCCAGAGCTCAAAGCTCCTGAAATAACTTTATTAAGGGGGGGCCAGGACATGACAGAAGGGATGTTGAGAGGGATCTGATGACTGTCAGACAGGACTTGGCAGAGCAGCCACCCTGAGCCAGACCTTCCAGTTAACCCCTCCTTGATCTGCACACTCTCTTAGCACAAAAGTTTTGGATTAGAGCTAAAAATGCACAGGAATAGTGAAGGAAGCACCTGCTCTTGCCAGCAAGCATTCATTCCACTTCTAGTTTGGGGTTGTCTGATTTTAACATGCAGTTTTTGTGTCTTTTGGGTCTCTTTCTAACCCCAACAGCTAGGTAGAAGAACCTCTACTCCTAAATCTCCCTTTACCAAGAGGGGTGTAGCCATGATATTTTCTGAAAAATCCCTTTGCAGGGATTTTTCTCCTGAGAAACCTCAGAGGAAAAGAAAAACAGTAATTATCTGCTGCTGTGGAATGCAACAGGTGCATCTTTGATTGGTCTCATGTGGTTGTTTTTAATTAATGGCCAATCACAGTCCAGCTGACTTGGACCCTCTGGTCAGTCACAAGATTTTATTATCATTCCATTCCTTTCTATTCCTTTGCTAGCCTTCTGATGAAATCCTTTCTTCTATTCTTTTAGTATAGCTTTAATATATCATTTTCTTATAATATAATATATATCATAAAATAACAAATCAGCCTTCTGAAACATGGAGTCAAGATTCTTGTCTCTTCCCTCGTCCTGGGACCCCTGCGAACACCACCACAGAGGGGTTTGACAAGAACATTTAGGGTGACTGAAGGAGCTGAAGATGAGCTCTACCGAGTGTTCAACACCAGCCTACTCCTGTTTCAGCATCCTTCAGCTGCCACACCAACACTGGACCCAGTGTGCTACCAACTACAGCTCTTAGACAAACTTTTTGTTTTAAAGAAAAGGATTTAAGAACAGTTCTTCTGTTCTCTGTCTCCTCTGTAATTCATGATCCTCTCAAAAACCTCTGCCTCCTCCAGGTGATGACTATGAGAAACTGGATATCAAGGACTAAAGTCTAATCCTCTCCTGGGACGTGGCATCATGGCCTTTGGAAGAACCTTGTGCCACTCCCTGGTTTCCTACACGAGCTGTTGCCCCAAAGCCTCCACAAACCTGTGATGCCCACCACTGGGACAGTCACAGAATAATCTCCTCGAGAAAACCACAAGGACTGTTGATATGGATAACAGCAAAGCTGGAGCACACATTCCTTCCAGCCCAGGGAGCTGGGAGGATCTCTGGGCAAACACACATGCTGCTGTGAGCTGACTGTAATCCACTTATGCTCTAAATCTCCAAAGGAGGCAAGAAGAATGCCTTGAGGATGGAGAATAAGCAGTTGCTGATTTCAGCTCAAAGCTCCAGAGCAAAAAACAGCCCTGATCTCACTTTCCCATTGCCCCAACTTCAGTCTCTGTCTCCCAGCACCTACCAGGAATAACCTGAAATAAGAGGAATATAAACCTCCACAGTGCTGTAAGTGCAACCAAGGCAGGTTGGGATGAGGCATATTCTTTAGTGGAAGTCTGAAAAAATTTTTTTGGAATCTCAATTCTGCATTTTTTCTGCTCATAAGACAGAGGAACAAGGAGCAGGGAGCAGAAATCTCCCAACTGATCAAACATTTGGATAACTGGAAACTAAACCTTTGCCTCAGCACAGGCAGAGACAGGGCCATGGGAAACTTGGCTTTATTCTGGTCCCCACCATGAGTGGCTCATCAGCAAACTGCTCTGCCCAAAGAGCTGCCAAGACCTCAGGACAGCACAAGCAGGTAGGTTTTGCTCCAACACTTTGTGGAATCACAGGGATAAGCAGTCCTATATGCACCTCTTCATTCGCTGCCTCCTTGTGATGCCCTCTCTGCCAGGCCCTGATGGAATGAAAAGTGGGAATTTCACTTCTGAGGATCAGAGATTTGGATCTTCCACATTTTTACATACAAAGTCACCAAGGAGTATCTTAAAATATAACCAACAGCAACTCAAGAGTGACTGATCTGGGATTCAATCCTCCCATCACCCCACTGCACCGCTCTCCAGCAGCAGCACAAGGCACAGGGCAGAGGTACAAGCTCCCACAGCTCAGCCACGCACTAGGGAATCTCCACAACTGGGCCCTGCCAGGAATCTCCTCCAAAACAACCACAGCATCTGGCAATTTTTAAGCCACACCACCAATTCCTGAGGAAAGGCACAAAAAAATTACCTGACTGTACAAGCTAAGTGAACTTAGGACCCCTGTGCAGCTGCTCCCACAGTGCAGACAGGATGGAACCAAGTTCTCCTGGTTCTTTACCGGTGGGAAAAAAAACAAACCTCCCAAGCACGAAGCAGAGGGGACAGTGAAAAGCCACTGCAAAGCCCGGGGCAGCAGTGCCGGAAAGTGGCACGTACCTGTAACAGAGCACCCACCCTGCTTCCAATTCCATCTTACCAGACAGGTTTTTTTCCACTTCTGTAATTTTTCATCCCCAGGAATATTTAAAGCCAGCATGGGAACAACAGCGATGCCTCCATGGCTGCCCTCCTGCCCCCAGAGCCCGCACTGTCCCTGCCCCATGGGCCCTCCGAAGCTCCCGGTGCCAGCCTGCCCCTGTCCTCCCACACCAGGATCTCCCCCGCCCTAACACTCCCCACACCCATTTCCCCAAAGCTCTACAAGCTCAAAGTGACCCAGAGTCGCCGCTGTCCAATTCCAGGCACCCTCCGAGCCCCTCAGCGCACATGCCTACCCCGTTCTCCCGGACCCCGCGTCCCCCAGGCCCCACGTCCGCTGTGTCTGCCCTTCACAGAGCACCCCACGACGCTGAAGCAGCCCGTCCGCGCCTCGCCTCCCCAGCCCGACCCGGTTCGGCCCAAACCGCGCCCCGCCAGCCCCGTGCCAGCACCTCCTCCGCCTCACGCTCAACGGGGCCGCCAACCTCCACCTCCAGCACAGCCGCCATCTTGCCCCGCCCCCTCCAGTGGCCAGCCACTTCCTCCGCCGTCCGCCAATCACCGGGCGAGGTGCCGCACCTCGAGCCAATTGCTGGGCGCGGCGCTGCCCAGGCCACCAATCAGGCGAGGGGAGGAGTGGAACGGCTGCCGGACACGCCCCTCCGGGCGCATAAGAGCGGTGAGCTGTCACAGCCGGCCGCTGGCTCCTGTGTGTGGGCCCGCAGCGGGATGCGTGACCTCCGTGGGCAGCACCGGCGGTACAAACCGCCTCGCACCGCCGTGCCCGAAGTGCCGCTGCTGCTCTGCCCCTGCCCCCGCCCCCGCCCACCCCTCTCCACCACCGCCGCGCGCTGTTCCGGACAGGGCGCAGATGGCAGATGGCTCCTGAGCTCTGCCCGCGGGGGCTGTAGAGCGCCGTAGTCAGCGGGCTGCGTGTCCCGTCCCCCGAGGGCTGCGTGTCCCGTCAGGCCCCGCAGCGGGCACGGCCGCGCCCCGAACCGGAGCGCGGTCGGGAGAGGCGCTCAAGGGAGGCGGGAGCGGCGGGGATCGGGGCTCACGTCACTTGGGCGGCCGAGATGGGTACGGATCGGACTGGGCGGTGACTCGGGAGCTCTGCGGTCAGGCACTGGCTTGGGCAATGGCGTGGCGAGGCTGTGGGGCACAGCCAGGGCTTTAACAGGCCTGGGAAAGCGGGGAACGACTGACGAGCTACAGCGATAGCTGAATAGTGCTGAGGCGTTGTTCGTGCCTCTGGGAACACGGGCCGTGGAGCTGCGGGAAGGACGTGAGGGCACTGGAGAATAGGGCTGGGGCGTGTGGGTGGGACCCGGGTGGCAGAATGGGGCGCTGTGGGCTGAGCTGGGGGCACAGGAGAGGCCGAAGGGAGCTGGGGGATTGTGACTCAGATCTGGGAGTTGCTGCTGGGTCGGTAACCTGAGGGGTGCTGGGGTAGCTCTGGGGGGCACCGAAGCGGTGGGGTGGGACTGGGGAGCTGCTGAATGGTTCCAAAGCCAGGAGATGCCCAAGCTCATCAGACTCTCCTCTCTCCCCACCAGGCACCAGAGGCATCCAGAGGAAAGTTACACTCTGGCAGTGTTGTCTCCAAAGGCTTCTGAATGGCTCCGGTTAAAATCAGTGTGGTGTGGTGTGTGGTGTCCTTCTCTTCCCAGGTGCCTGGGGGTTCCCTCTGGGGGGCTGGGTGTGGGGCTGATCCCTCTGAGCTGCCCGGGTCTTGGGAGAGGTGGGTCAGGGCATGACAGGGTGCAGTACCACCTCACCTTGTTAATCAGAAGGGCAAGGATTCACATCATTCTTGCTCTCTCAAAATGGGATGTTGTTCCTGTAGGTTACCAGAGAATTCCATGCTTCTCCCCATGTCCAGAACAAGCTAGAGCTGGAGGGGAGGCTGTTTAGGGAGGGGTTGGTACATGATGCTGTGTCCCTGCTGTGTGTGCAGGACCCCAAGTACCCCAAGGCAGAGAACCTGCTGAGTGAGGACAGCATACAGCCCTGGCTTGGCTGCCCCAAGGATCACAGCAGGCAGCTGAGTGTGGAGCTGTGACAGGAGACAGCCAGTCCCATTGGCTGTGTTGACATTGATACTTCCCTGTTCCCCACTCCCGTGCAGGAGCCAGGGCCATGCCCCACAATGGGGTCAGCAGCTCTGAGCCCCCTTGCCCCTGTCCTTCTCACTGCTCCCCAGGGAACTACAGCTGTGCCTTTCTGCAGTCTGAGGTGGGATGCTCCTCATGGCCCTGCGACCAGCCCTGTCACACCTCGGTGCCCACTGATGACACCAGCTGACTCAAAGCTGGACCAGAATCGCTGCAGGGTTCAGAGGTTTTAGGAAGGTAAGGACTGATCCAAAGGAAAAAGGCATGGGGAAAAGCTGTGGGCCTGGTCATGGCATGGAGCCGATATGGGGGGATGGTGATGGAATGGGGCTGGCAGTAGGATGTGGCTGATAGGAGGGTAGAAGAAGGACAGGTAGGGAAGAGGACAGGTAGACCAGGGGTTAGGGTTGTTTATGGGCTCAGGAAAGCTGTACCACCTCTGCTTCCCTGCCCTTTCTTGTGCCCATAATCCCCCAGATGTCCTGGGTGGCACAGCAACAGAGCCACAAGCAGAGGTAGGAGTGGTGTTGGGATGGTGGCCAGTGCTCTTCCCCACAGCAGAGCTCAGAGCTGACGGTGGGGCAGACATGGGACCACGTGCTGTGACAGCTGCAGCTGGTCTGAAGCTGCACAGTTAAAATTGGCCATAACAGACCAAACTTGGCCAGCCTGGTACATTAAAGAGTAGAGGTAAACAAGTTCCTGGGTGATGAGGAACATCATCCAACAGTGATGAGCTGGAGTCAATCTCCAACAGGGGAGCCCAGCCAGTCCCATTCAATCATGAATGCAGACATCAGCTGGCCAGTGAGCTGGGTGGTGCTGAGACCCCAGCAATCAAATGTTCAACTGCAGGAATTCTGAAGGCCCTCTAAAAGGGGGTGCCCCTCAATAAACTTTGGCTCTTGTTGCAGGAACTCAGTGTGTTCAGTCGTGTGCCTGTCTCCAACAGTGTGCAGCTCACCTGCAGCCAGCTCTTCAGTCCATGCAGCTGCTTTGGGCTCTCCTTCATCTGCCTGCACAAACCACGGGGGCAGGAGCCTGACCCCCCACAGCCCCCCTGGACACAGTAGGTGTCCCTCACACTTCCATGTGTGCCGCTCTGTGGGGAGGCAGCAGGAAGGGGCTGCCCCTCCATGGACACCACTTGTGCCCCATGGTGGTGCTTGCTGGGCTGAGCTAGGGGCTGTGCCCAGAGTGCTGGGCACAAGGAACCTCTCTCGATTGCCTGGGGCCTCTCCTTGTCCCACAGAGGATGCTGAGCTCTCAGACACACCCTGGTGCTACAGCTCTGCCTTTCACAGGACTTTCTTTCCTGACTCATGCATTTACATGGCCTGATATGGTCCACTTCATCCTGTCCCTGCACAGTGTGGCCTGGAGCTCCTTGATGTGCTTCCTTGGAGCCCAGAGCCCCAGCTCACACCAGCCTTATCCTAATGTCACCCTGGTTTTTTAAGATTTTCTAAGCCTTCTGTGTTGACATTCTTGTAGGGAACTTTCTCACACACTTTCTGTAAATAACTCATTGTTTTGCATTCCTTTATGGGGGAGGAGAAAGTTGATAGACTGTTGGTCTGTCCAGTGTCATTGGAGAGGTGGCACTGTCACCTTCCAATCCACTGTCACTCTTGGAAAGCTATAAATGTTGGAGTCAGAAAATAAGCTTCCCTTTTTTCTTCACCTTGAGAACAGTGGGGTGCGCTTGTGTTCTTTCGTGTCTGATAGCAACACCCTCCTGCAAGGCTGCCCCTCCCTAGCCCCAGGAGATCCAGGGAGGAGAAGCAGCTGAGGAGGCACCTGTGGAAGCTGGAAGGGGCTGCCTGGAGCTCAGCCCACCTCAGCCACTGTGCCTGGACGGAGCTGTTGACAGCACAGAACCAGAACCAGGCACCAAGGCCCAGAGCTGGCAGGAGCACCCTGGGGGGTCACCTGGAGCTGCTGGCCAAGGATGTGGGAGGTCCTGCAGTGCCAGGTGAGTGAATCTGCACAGCTGTGTCCTGGGCTGGCCCCCAGCCACTGTGGGCAGCAGGGCAGGGGGGAATTCTGCCCCTCTGCTCTGCTCAGGTGAGAGCCCAGCTGCAGAGCTGCCTCCAGCTCTGGGACCCCAACATCAGAAGAGTGTGGAGCAACTGGAGTGAGCCCAGAGGAGGCTGTGGAGATGCTCTTGAGGGCTGGAGCCTCTCTACTGTGGAGACAGGCTGGGACATCCAGGGCTGCTCAGCCTGGAGACAAGAAGGTTCTGAGAACTGGGAGCCCCTTCCACTGCCTGAAGGGACTTCAGAAGAGGGGCAATGGCCTGGGAGGACAAGACAAGGGGTAGTGGCTTCAAATTGACAGAAGACAGGGTTATATGGGATATTACAAAGAAATTCTTCCCTGTGAGGCTGGTAAGACACCAGCACAGGTTGTCTGGAGCAGCTGTGGCTGTCCCATCCCTGGCAGGTAATCCCAGGGTCTCTGTCTTCTGCTGCCCTCACCCTGGCTGTTTACTGCTCTCAGCCTTTCCCAGACACTTCTGGGCCCAGCCCTTCACTCTTTTGGGCTGGCAGGATGTGGCATGGGTAACGTGCTGGAGGTATCCTCTCTGCAGGGCCCCAGCTGCCACCTCAAGGACTCCCAGGGTGAAAGGAACAGCCCAAGCCTGTGGCCCCCAAGAGAGACAAGGCAGGAGAAATGACAGAGGACACACCAGCAGTGAGGGGGACACAGCTGTCTGCCCCAGCTGCTTGGCAGGGCTGTCCTCTGGTGGCCAGTAAATGGGCAGAGTGGTGGCAGTTCTGTAGCTGGGACACATCACTCCTGCTGGTGCCCTAGCACTGGAGTGTATTCCCAGGCTGCCATAAGAACCATCAAGAAGGGTGTCAGTCCAAACCCCACATCATCCCAACACTAGTGAGCTTGTGACAACCATATCACCTTTGCTTTCCACAGGCCACTTCCTGCTGAATCTGCTCCCCACACACGCCTCCCACTGTGGAGAAGAACCTACTGTAGCCTGGCCGCCCTGCCCCATTTGCCAGCTGCCCTCTGGCATGGCAGAGATGGAGCAGCATGCCAGCAACTGCAGGGAGACACCAGGGGCCCTGTCCTCACCCCAGTGCCTGCAGTAGGACAGCAGAGCTGGGGACAAACCCTGTGTCACCACCCCTGAGGGCTGAACCTGCAGTACGCCAAGGGGCAGAGACAGTGCAGCCCCCGGACATCTGTGGCAAGGCTGGTGTGAGCATGGAGGATGGAGAAGGTGCTTCCAGCCCCATGGCCAGGTTTGCTGGGGTTTGAAGCACTTTAATGGCAGGGGTTGCTACTGGAGAAGAGAAAGTTAAAGGAGAAAAGAAAGAAGGACAGAAATCTGCACTATGACTGCTTGGGGGCACTGCAGGGTCCCTGGGTGAGCATCCTGCCTTGGGACACCCTGTGTAGTTCAGTGATAGGACAAGGAGGAGGTCATGCTTTTCCTCCCCTCAAGCCCTGATAAAGGTTCCAGTGCATGTGGACTGTAGGAGCAGGAAGCCAGGAGCCCCAGAGCAGGTGAAAAATACACTTTATTTACAAGTAGAAACATTTAAAAATGCTGCCTCAACTTCCCTGGGAGGAAGAGGAGGACCGGGCAGGTTGGGGGGGTCCCACACACAGGGAGCAAAGGTGGTGACCCGAGGGATGCTAAGTTTCACCTCTGTCCCTGTACCCGAGGCTGCAGAATATCCCTGGGGAGAGCTCAGCCCCTCCAGCTGCAGCCTGGTGCCAGCCCCCACACCCCTGTGTATTTCCAGCCCTCACCCTCTGTGCATCCCCTTGCCTTGGGTCCCGGAAGGGTTTAGGATGACAATGGGTACAGGAAGGGCAAGGGGGCCTTGCCGTGCCCAGGGCACCCCACAGTTGTCAGTGGGATATGCAAGGCAGTCGTGTGGGTGGCCCCACCTGTTCACCCTCAGTGCTCCTGGGCCCTGGGGGGGCAGGAGGAGGTGAGGGGGTGCAGGTGGGAGGCCAGGGCAGAGCCAGCACACAGGGACTGGGAAAACCTCAGGATCGCTTGTCCTTGCGCGACTGGCGACTGGCCTGGAAAGGACAGAGCGAAGATGGGAGGTTAGGGACCAAGAACGTGAGTGAGCCCCATGCTGGGACCTGCTGCTGCCATAGCAGCCCAGGGACAGCAGGACTGTGCCCCTTGTCCCCATGGCCTGTATGAACCCAAGGCAGGAGCTGGGGGCGCTGAGCATGAGCTCAGCAGCGTGCCCAGGGGGGCAGGCAGTACCTACCTTGCCCTTTGGGATCGTGGCGGTGGCAATGTGGGATGAGCGGCGGGTGCCGCTGGAGGCTGTGGGAGTGCTCCTCTGGGCCATTGCCCGGCACAGCAGGCACCTCCCCAGCTCCCTGGGGGTGTTGAGGATGCTGAATGCCATCGACTGGCGCCTCTGAGCCTGCAAAAGAGGAGCAGGACCATTAGCTCAGCATGGGGCAGGACACAGGGCTCCCTCCCGATCCCTCTTTTTCCCTCTGAAACTTAGTGGTGTAACCACTGCAGCTCTGCAATGTGGTTCCAGTCATCCATCTGCTCTGGCTCATCCTGGCACATGCCCAGCTTCATGGTGCTCTGGCCTAAATCCAAAGCAAGGAAAGATGAGGAGGGGGCTTCCAGGTAAGACCTGACTCCCCCAAGGCAGGGCAGAACCCTACAGCCAGCAGTCCAAGTGCTCCCCGCCCATACACACCAAGGCTAGAGCTGCTGGTCCGCTGCAAGTGCAGGGAGCTACGGGTGACTGGTCGGTACCCAGGGAGGCCCAGCAGTACTGAATGGCCAGGGGTCTTCTCTGGGGAGGAGGCTTCCAGCTTTGCAAGGGTTTCCTGGGAGGAGAAGCTGGTGAGGGAGCGGGTGGAGGCACCTGAGCGCAGACGGCCCTTAGCAGGGGAAGATGTTTTTGTGGAATGAGCCAATGGGATGTTCTTGATGCAGACCAGTTCCTCGGGCTCTGCCTGTTTCTGGGAGAGAAAAATCCACAGATAAGTTTAGGTTGAATGGACCTTAAAGCTCATCTCCTTCCACCTCTTCCTTCCCTTGGCTGGGACACCTTCCACTAGACCAAATTGCTCTAAGCTGCATCCAGTCTGGCCTTGAACACTTCCAGGTACGGGGCAGTCACAGCTGCCCCGTACCTGGAAGTATGGGGCAGCTGTGGCAACCTCACAGGGAAGAACTTCTTCCCAATATCCCATCTAACCCTGCCCTCTGTCAATAGGAAGCCACTCCCCCTTGTCCTGTCACTCCAAGCCTATGTCCGGGAGTCCCTCTCCAGGTCTCTTGGAGCCTCTTTAGACACTGGCAGGGGCTCTAAGGTCTCCCTGAAGCCTTCTTCTCCCCACTTTCTCAACCTATCTCCAGGACAGAGGGACTTCACCCCTTGGAGAGCTTCTGTGACCTCCTCTGTCCTTGCTCCAGCAACTCCATGTCATTCTGATGTTGGGGCCCCAGAGCTGGAAGCAGCTCTGCAGGTGGGGGGGTCTCAGCAGAGTGGAGCAGAGGGGCAAAATGCCCACATTGCACCGCTTCCCACTGTGCTGGGGGGATCAGCTGAGGACATGGCTGGACTTTAGGCTGCCAGTGCACATTGACAGGTCATGTTCAGCTTTTCAGTTCCCAGCATGCTGGGTCCCTCTGCAGTGCTGCTCCTGATCCCTGCATGCCCCAGCAGGGGCCCCCTGCTCACATCTGTCATGGTGATGTTGATGGTGGTGCGGCGCCGGGCAGAGCGGGTCTTGCAGCCGGAGTCGAGCGAGAAGTCTCCCGGGAAGTTGGCGCTGCTCTGGAGCTGTGACCGCCTCTCAGAGAGGATGGGAGTAAAGTAGAGACTCTCCAGGGATGACTTTGTCTGGGGCAGCCGCTGAGACAGCAGTGACTCTTCACTGTCTGACGGCACCACTGAGACTTCCAGCTGAGAGCTGGCAGCCTTCCTGCGGAGACAGGGGGTGAGGGTAGCACCAGCAGGCTGACCAGGCCTGGGAACGGTGGAGTTTTGGGGTGCTGGAAGCAGATGGATCTGGTACCTGGGGGAGCTGAGCTGCTGTGCCTCATTGAGGCGATCAGTGCTCTGGTCAGCCACACTCTCAAAGGAAGCCTCATGTCCCTTTACTGTGGCAGTCTTCTCCTGGAACTTGCTGAGTTCCTGCACCTGAATGGGAAACAGGGAGGAATGGATGGATCTGTCCTCCAAGTGAGGTGGCGATGGAAGCACAGACAAGGAGGGTGAAGCTCAACTATGCCACACCCACCTGAGCTTCCAGGCTGCGAATCTGGCTGGTAAGAGTCTTGCAGCTCATCTCAGACTCCTTGGCCTGCAGGATGCTCTCCTGTAGCTCCTTGGCCAGCCTCTCTGATTTGCTCTGAAGCTCTGTGTTCTCTTCCTGCAAGTGCTCCATGGCCTTCAGCTTCTCTGATAGCTCCTGGTTCTGCTGCTTCTTGGCATCATAATGACTTTTTGCCTTCTCCATCTAGGATACAAAGCAGAGGAATCCTCTCAAGCTTCCCAGCAGTGTCAGGGACAGCAAGGCCATACCAGCCCCCAGCATACCTGCCCTTTGTAGTGCTCAGCTGCCTGCTCCTTCTGGGCGAGCTGCACCTGCAGCTCTGCCACCTTCTCCTGATGGCTTGTGACTGCTGCCTGCAGCTCCCCTTCCAGTGCTGTTGTCTTATATATCAACGGGACTTCTATTATCATCATGCAAGGATTCCATAGCCTCAGAGTTTCCTACCTGCCTGTGAGAAACCCTCTATGTTTCTCACAGGCAGCTCCTCTGAGCACTGACTGTTCCTGGTCCTTGCAGCAGCCATCTGGCTTCTCTGACTCCAGTTCCCATCATCCACTCTTTTATACCACTTGTTCTTATTGGCTACAGGTGTTGCCTGTTATCATCCAGCCTGCTCCTAATCTTTAGTAATAGGGTCCAGCTGCAACTCATTGGGGGATAAGATTACATTCTACATTCTCTTCATTTACCCATGCTCCATCCCCCTACAATTCCCCCTTTTTCTTTTAACCACAGAGTTGCAGCATTTCCAGAAGTACATATTCAAATAAATTAACATTATGACGTATTTATACATTTCTTTTAGAACTAGGAGTTATACAAAGGTTCAAACGGCATATCATAGTACTGATATATATATTTCTAAATGTTAGTTCAGTTCTATAGCTTTTCCTGGCTTACAAAGTACTTATCTTTAAGGTCTTTTACACTCATATTTAACAAATAACAGTAGCTGTAATTGATACATTTTGCCAATCCTGTTTCCCCGAATCCATGGGGGTTATATGGTCAAATCCAGTGGTCAAATCTGGCTTCCCAAACCCACAAGGTAATATGGTTTTTAATCCCAAATCCACGGGGCAATACAGTTTAGTAGTCAAGTCCTTTTTTCCAAATCACAAGCTCATCTCCTGAATCACGTTCCGAATCACATCAGTCATATAGTTTAGTATTTAAATCCATGGGTGCCAAATCACATCGGTCATGTAGTTTAGTATTTGAATCCACAGGTCCCAAAACACGTCCCGAATCATGTCAGGGTCAGCACTTGTTGTCTTATATATCCACGAGAGTTCTATTATAATTATGGTGCAAGGATTCCATAGCCTCAGAGTTTCCTACCTCCTTGATGTTTCTTGCAGGCAGCTCCTCTGAGCACTGACTGTTCCTGGTCCTTGCAGCAGCCATCTGACCTCTCTACCTTCTCTGACCCCAGTTTCCATCATCCACTCTTTTATATCACTTGTTATTGGCTACAGGTGTTGCCTGTTATCATCCAGCCTGCTCCTAATCTTTAGTAATAGGGTCCAGCTGCAACTCATTGGAGGATAAGATGACATTCTACATTATCTTCATTCATCCATACTCCATCCCCCTACAGAGTGCCTGTGGGCAGGGAAGAGACTGGCTTAGAGGCAACCCAGCTGAGCCCCCTGGCAGCACCAACAGCTCCAGGGCTCAGCCCCCAGGGTTTTGGTCCCTCTTTACTTTAACTCTCTGCTGCTGGGTCCAGGTGGCCTTCTCATGCTGAGTCAGCTTTTTATTCAGCTCATCCACCTGGAAGAAAGAACATGGCTTGGTGAGACCAGCTCCAGCCACAAAACTACCATCTTCCTGTGGAGGAGCACAGCCCCTCCTCTCTAGCCAGCTCTAGGGCACAATGAAGAAATTTCCTGCCACAGGGCCACTGTTCAGCACCACCCACTGCCAAGGAAGATCCCAGGACATGCCAAGGTGACCATCACCCACCCCATGTTAATCCTTACAGCAAGGCTGGCTGGAGCTACCCAAGCAGAAGGAGCAGTCACAGGCTGGAAGCAAAGCCTCTGTTAAGTCCCCAGTGCCCAAGCACTTGCAACCTGGAGTCCCACAGGTCATCCAGCACTCTTGACACAGGGAGCTGGCTGCTGCAAGTTCTGGCCTGGCCATGCTCTCCCTGCTCCAGGGGATGCTTGAGGAGCCCTCAGCCCCCTGCTCATAGCCACAAGGTCTCTGCAGAGTCCTGGGCAGCTCTGGCTGGGACTGGACAGGGAAATGTGGCTTTTCCAGCATTGTTTCCCAAGTGCTAACTCCTACCACATCTGAGATCAAGGCTGCTCTAGCCACATCTGGCCCATACTGTCTGAGCACAGCTGTTCCTATTGGTTGTGCCAAGAGCTGGGCCTTGGTTAAAGGTGGGGGAGAAGCCATCCCAGCACTGGGATAGTCCCATGCTGAGGAGCCCTGCATGCTCCTGGCAGCCACTTGCTGCGTGTGCTGCCATGGGCCATGTCAGAAGCCATGCCAAGTTGCAGGCACTAATGTGAGGGAGCAGGTGGCAGGATGGGAGCCCAGTTGCTACCCCCTGGAGCTGAAGGTGCCCAGAGACTTGGAGCCAAGGGCCCCATGGCTGGGTCCATGCTGTGAACAGTTCACAGTACAGTACAGAGGAGAGGGTGGCTCCAGCAGGAAGTGACAAACAAGGAGGGCTGTGCACTGTCACTGAGCAGCCAGCTCGTGGTCTGTGTTACCTGCTTAGTTTGGTCCTTCTGGATTATCTCCAACTGCTCCACCTGCAAGCACAAAAAGTAGAGGTGAGTACACAGCTGAGACATAGGCTGTTTTCCATACAGTCATGGAGTCATTTAGGTTGGAAAAGCCCTCTGAGACTGAGTGCACTGCCAAGACCACCACTAATCCACATCCACATGTCTGTTAAATCCCTCCAGGGACAGGGACTCTACCTTCTGCACCATCTTTATTTTCTTACTTTTATTCCCCCACAATTCCCCCTTTTCTTTTAATTACAAAGTTGTAGCATCTCTAGAAACATATGTTTGAGTAAATTGTTATAATAAAGTATTCACACATCTCACTTAGGACTAATAGGTTACAAATGTTCAGGCTACATGTCACAGTAAGATCATCAACCTAAGGCTTTTTATAAACTAATGTTGTGTTTACTATCTTTTGCAGGGCCCTTTGCAGAAGATAGTAAACCCAGTACAATCATCTTTTGTGTAATTTATGTTGAACTCTGTAATGTGTCTGTGCCCTGACCTTGATTTATTACTCAAACTTACATTACATATTATCAGAAACTCTTACACTTACACTTCTAGAATATGGACAACGTCAATAGCTCTACAGCTTTATAAGGCAACTCACAAGAATAAGTTAAGGGCTATATATTAGGATAGTAACAAATCAACAGTTACATAATTTTATCAATAGCTATACAACCTGAACAACATCAATCCGGTATCTGTCGAATGTACTTATGCTTATGGAATATAAACTTTTTACACTTATGCCTAATCAAAGATTAATAGTTGCAATTCACAAACAAAATGCACATGTTTCATCAGCAAGCAAATACACCATACTGAATGATAGAGCTACTCTGTCCTCAACTCCAACTGCTGTTTTAATAATTCTCTTATTCCTTTTACAGTTTTTGTTGTATTAGTTTGCCACTCCAAGCCTCTCTTGCCCTGCTGTTTTCCATGTAGATGAAACATTCTGTTCTTCACTTGATATGTTATTTCCCATTGTGTCCCCAGCAGCTCCCCTGTACCCCAGGTGTTGAAATCTGTCAGGTCCAGACCAGGCAGCCTCCCCTGCTGCTCTCAGTGCTACACTGGGCTCCATCTCTGGCTGCACTCGCCCCACGGCCCATCCCAAATCACATCAGGTTACTGTGGAGATGGCCACTATACAATTTTAGAGGGCTTTTCTTACATGTTGTCTGCTCATGTAGCAGCAACTTTCCTATTATGTCCTGCTGCACACACTGCCATTCAGGGGGCAGCCAGCACCATCCTGGGTCCCCCCTCTGGACTGCAGCCATACCTTGGCAGGGGGCACAGGGCTTGCTCCAACACGACAAATAAGCAAAGTGCATAGCATCCACTCCTCATATCCAACACTCTTCTTCTTGGGGGTGGTGTCTCATACATTGTCCAGACTTCTAGTCTCTTAGGTCTGCTTGGCTATAACTCATCTGGATTTTTAGGCTCTCAGGCTCTTGGTTTGCCTGACTCCACTATCTTATTTCTCTTAAGTCTGCAGTCATCTTCCTGAATCACCTTGGGATCACATTACTTAATATTTAAGTCCTTTTTCCCAAACCACCACAGGATCACCTCCTCACTGCTCTCGCTACAGTTCTCTACCCAAATCACTGCAGGATCACATCCAAATCATGTCAGGGTCACCATATTTTGTCATCATATTTCAAAAGCTCCATACCTTCTCAGTGATTTCTCATGGGCAGCTCCTCACAGCACAGCCAACAAACTGCAGGACCCTTCACAACACAAGCAACAAACTCCAACTCTCCTATAGACCAGCTAACCCACTCTTTTATAGCACTCTTCCTCACTAGTCACAGCTGTGGCCTATCAAGGGCAGGCCTGTTTCTAATCTTTGGTAGTTAGGACAGCTGCAACTCCTCAGGGGCAGATTACCTTCTGCACCATCTTTATTTTCTTACATTCTGTCCACCCACAGAGTTCTTATTTGGATCAGGATCCAGAGCCCAAGGCAGGCTTGGTCACTGGGTCAAAGATCGCATTAGCAGAACCATAAACATCCCAGCATCCAGCACTGCCATCAAATCCTCCCCCCAGGCTCTATCACAACCAGCTGGGCTGTGGGACATGGAGAGGACACTGCACCCCATACCTTGAAGGAAAGATCCCCATTCTCCTCAGAGAGCTGGTTGATTTTTCGGTCCATCTGGGCTTTTTCAGTCTTCAGGTCCTGGCACTGCCTGAAGGCCTCGTGCAGGCGCCCCACCAGGCTGTGGGAAAGGAGCTGCTTAAGGAAGTGCTTAAGGAGGCGGTGCATGCTGGCAGCAGGCAAGGATATCACCAGGGATCGCTGCTGCTGGATATTGCCACAGAAGCTAAAGGTTCCAAGGGATCTCCATGCCTTGCTGTGACTCTGCCATCAACCCAGCTCTAAACCTGGCTCCCAACAGGTGGCAAAGCAGAGTAGAGATAAGCAATGTTTGTGCTTTGCAGAAGCCCAACTGCTCCAAACTGAGAGCAGAGGCAGCGGTGGGACTCCAGCCACCCCCCTGCAAAGGGAAATAAGTAAGGAAAGGACAAAAAAAGACATGGCACTTCCAGTGGAGTTTGGGCAGCCTTCCCAAGTAAACAATGGCACAGGGACAGAGCAAAGACCAGGATGCAGTGTGACAGGTGATTTCAAGTGTGTGACAAAGCCCAGTACATGGGATCAAAGTAAAGGCCTGGGAAATGGGCTGGAGTCAGGAGTTAACTGTTTGGTGTATTTTCCAAAGTGAGGGACAAAATTATTTTCTTGTCTGTATTTACACCGAGTCCTATGCTATGTTTATATTTGGGTTGCTCCTGGCTGATGCTTTTAACAGAGCTACAGGAGATAATACTGTTAAAGCAATGCAAGGATGGTTTGGAATTTCCCTAAAACCACAGGAAATTCAATCTGATAATATTTCTCATTTTACTGTCAAAGGTGTGCAGGATTGGGCAGAAGGTGAAAAGATTAAATGGACTTCTCACACCTCTTACTACAGATGGGGGGTAAACGAGTGTTCCAGAATCACTGCTTTTTGCCCGACAGCTCCAAGCATAATTCCCTCACTACAGAGACCAGATGGTTTCAAGCACCCAGCACATTACCCTGGACAACCTGTTTTTGGTGGACCCCCCGCTGCTGTAGGGGAAGTACCACTGCTGTTCAAAACCTCTCTGACAACTCCATCGTTCTAACTTCTTCTGCCTCTTCATGGCAGAGTCTGTTGTGTTTACTTTTTCAGAAGAACTCCGAGGGACAGGAAGACCTGATAAACCATGATAACACTAGTTAGATGGACAACAGAAATAATGTTTTCCCTTCCCTTTATGGTAACACCAGGTGATGATATTACACATGACATGTAAATTAATTGAACTTGAATAAATTGGCTGTTACAATTAGAGATTTGATCAAATTACAGCAACCACTGCAGTCATTCTTACAGGCTTTTGTGAACACACCAGTGGCTGCTATCAAAAATATTACCAAATTGGGAGAAGGTAAATGTAAATGATCACAAACTGGTAAGTGATGCACTCGGTGCTACACAAAACAATGTTTCTTTGGCTCTCAGCTGTATCCAGGCACAATTGTGGATGCACTCAGTTTCTGCTTCAATTATAAGAGAATTGAAGTGAAGAAGGCACTTTTCCCACTGAAATTTGGAAAATAATTTGGAACAGTGCCACTGACTTTGAAAGAGAATTCCAATCCTGGTGGAACCTAGTGAATTTTGACCTATGACCCCATTTGAAACAGAGACACAGCTTTTGTGTTAACCATACGCAATGCCTCAGGGCACTTGATTTTCCCTGTTATAGCATTAGAACTGAATTACGACAGAGCTATTCTCTATCTTTCTGAACATAGAGAATGGGCCTGTCAAATTGGTAAGAAATGGCAAACTGGTAATTTGGAATCTTGTATTGCCCGAGAACAACAAGGGCTCATCTGTGAATGCAATGCAATCATAGCTCAAGACATTTGTTTAGACACAGAGCAAAATATCTGTCATTTTGAAATTCGTCCTAACGAGACTTCTGAAACAGTTCTATACATAGGCAATAGATGTGCACGCTTTAGAACCATTTGTGATTTTGTATTCGTAGAAAATAAATATTGTAGTAGATAGTAAAAATCATTCAAATTTTTGTGCTTGTAACTTTACCAAGATTACAGGATGTCATTTCTCTTATGAAGCTCCAGTTACCTCTCACTACCTATTGCAATCTAACTACACACTGATTCACAAACTGATGCCTACTCCTATTGGGATGAATCTCACTTTGGTAAGACAACTGCTGCTCTATCGGGACTTAGTTGAAATCCTCGAGAAGATTAAGAAAAACAGACAGAAAACTCTGGTAACTGTTCATCACAATGTGAGACAGATACACCATGTCATGGAAAGAGTGGAGGAAGATGCTGAGCACAAATGGTGGGATACTCTTTTTTGGGTGCTCTCCTACTGCCATGAGTGTCTTGAACAGTGTGTGTCATCCCATTGTTATGCTTTTGATTTTAATTATGTTTGATTTTATTTTATCAGCAGTCCTAGTCGTTATCAATTAGAAGATGGTGAAACAGCTGACAAGATTGACGTCTATAGTTAATGCACACAACTTGGCTGATGTCCCCTACACTGTGGACATCCCCAAGACATTTGACACAAAGCAATTATGAATTAAGCATATGTGTTTTAGAGTAAATCCTGATTCCCATTTATGATTTTGTGAGAATTACTTTCAATTTTTAGTGAATTGTTTTAGAAAGTTATTTTTAAATTAATACTTGTATTATGAATTGTTTATTGCTTTTTGCTTTTGATTATTTGTCATTTGTTTTAGCCATTTAAAAATTGTTATAAAAATAAATTGTTGTAATTAATCAACCATTTGTGAAAATTGTTACGATAATCAATATTAATTATGTTTATTGTCTCCCTTTTTCCCTTCTTTTTCCTATCCTTTCTTTTCCTCCTTTCTCGCTCTTGCTCTCTCTCTCTGTGTCAAATTGTCTCTATTTTTTCCGGGTTATACTACTAACGTACAGCAAATCCTGAAGACCTACCAGTGACATTTCAGAGCCCTGCTGATGAAGATCCCTTCAAGACAATCGTGAGTCACGGGGTAGTGTGAGAGTCTGTCCGAAATATCCCTCATCTGCCTCACAATCGTCATTGGGGAGACCACCAAAGAGAAGACCCCCCCGTCTTGAAAATCTCTGGCTTTGTAGGAGAAAGTTACACACACCAAAGGCCCTGAGACCTGAGAGCACAGTGCTAAGTTATTGTTTTCAGAGGTCTTGTTTGCTGTATGCTACACTGAGCCCAATGAGAAGGGGGCACCGGGCCCTGTTTGCAACAATAGCCTTGGAAGCTGTCCCACCTCTCGGCCTGGCTGACTTCTCCTGAGTTCAGGTGGTCTCCCACAGAAGACCCTCACCTGTTTTACAACCACCGTGACAGACAGACTGGGATGTAAGAAACCTCTCCATCAAAGACCAGGACATGAAACCCCTATGTGAAAAGGCCCCTCTCCTCCTTCCAAGGACTGGACTGAAACCCCCAACCCGAGGGAGGTGTGTGGGGGGAGGCAAGCTGACCAAAGCGAGATCTTTGCCTGCAGGTGTGACCACTGGACCACGAAAACAATGGCTCTCCTTTACTGCTGAGAACATGGACTACCTGTTACATCTATTCCTTATTGTATCTGTTTCCCCCCCACCCCTCACAATTTTCAATAGTTATCATAATAAAAACATCTGAGTTAGCTAGAGATTTTGAGATCTCCCAGACATAACAGGCGGATCCTTGACTGGACTGGACCAAAGGATTTCGTCTCTACATTTGGTAGCTATACCCCCCCTCTTTCTCTCTCTCTTTTCTCTCTCTTTCTCTATCTTTTTCTCTCCCTTAATCCCTCTATCCCATTTTGCTGTGGTCATTCAATAAAGGTATATTTGTTTTGATTATTACTGCAAATCCCCTGTGCCGTGTTGGTTCTTTTGCAGCCTGAAATCAATCCACGAACCCCATTCGTAAGGATGGATTGTGACACACACACACGAGCTGGATTATCCTGAGCCAGCCCAGGCCCCATGCAGTCAGACCCACTCTGCTACCCCCATCTCTGGGGCAGGTTTTCCTGCCTGCATCCCCAAGGAACTGCTGCCTTAAAAATCTAGGAACAAAACAGCACACATACAAAACAATTTCCATCAAGGATGTAATATAAAAACTGTTTTTTCATTGGAGGCCTCCAGGGGCAAATATGGAAAAATGCCTCCACTGGAGACAGGGTTTAGTGGTGGCCTTGGCAGAGCGAGGGCCATGTCCCCACCATGAGTGGCTCATCAGCAAACTGCTCTGCCCAAAGAGCTGCCAAGACCTCAGGACAGCACAAGCAGGTAGGTTTTGCTCCAACACTTTGTGGAATCACAGGGATAAGCAGTCCTATATGCACCTCTTCATTCGCTGCCTCCTTGTGATGCCCTCTCTGCCAGGCCCTGATGGAATGAAAAGTGGGAATTTCACTTCTGAGGATCAGAGATTTGGATCTTCCACATTTTTACATACAAAGTCACCAAGGAGTATCTTAAAATATAACCAACAGCAACTCAAGAGTGACTGATCTGGGATTCAATCCTCCCATCACCCCACTGCACCGCTCTCCAGCAGCAGCACAAGGCACAGGGCAGAGGTACAAGCTCCCACAGCTCAGCCACGCACTAGGGAATCTCCACAACTGGGCCCTGCCAGGAATCTCCTCCAAAACAACCACAGCATCTGGCAATTTTTAAGCCACATCACCAATTCTTGAGGAAAGGCACAAAAAATTACCTGACTGTACAAGCTAAGTGAACTTAGGACCCCTGTGCAGCTGCTCCCACAGTGCAGACAGGATGGAACCAAGTTCTCCTGGTTCTTTACTGGTGGAAAAAAAAACAAACCTCCCAAGCACGAAGCAGAGGGGACGGTGAAAAGCCACTGCAAAGCCCGGGGCAGCAGTGCCGGAAAGTGGCACGTACCTGTGACAGAGCATCCACCCTGCTTCCAATTCCATCTTTCCAGACAGATTTTTTTTCCACTTCTGTAATTTTTCATCCCCAGGAATATTTAAAGCCAGCATGGGAACAACAGCGATGCCTCCATGGCTGCCCTCCTGCCCCCAGAGCCCGCACTGTCCCTGCCCCATGGGCCCTCCGAAGCTCCCGGTGCCAGCCTGCCCCTGTCCTCCCACACCAGGATCTCCCCCGCCCTAACACTCCCCACACCCATTTCCCCAAAGCTCTACAAGCTCAAAGTGACCCAGAGTCGCCGCTGTCCAATTCCAGGCACCCTCCGAGCCCCTCAGCGCATATCCCTACCCCGTTCTCCTGTCCCCGGGGGCTGCGTGTCCCGACCCCGAGGGCTGCGTGTCCCGTCAGGCCCCGCAGCGGGCCCGGCCGCGGCCCGAACCGGAGCGCGGTCGGGAGAGGCGCTCACGGGAGGCGGGAGCGGCGGGGATCGGGGCTCACGTCACTTGGGCGGCCGAGATCGGTGCGGATCGGGCTGGGCGGTGACTCGGGAGCTCTGCGGTCAGGCACTGGCTTGGGCAATGGCGTGGCGAGGCTGTGGGGCACAGCCAGGGCTTTAACAGGCCTGGGAAAGCGGGGAACGACTGACGAGCTACAGCGATAGCGGAATAGCGCTGAGGCGTTGTTCGTGCCTCTGGGAACACGGGCCGTGGAGCTGCGGGAAGGACGTGAGGGCACTGAGAATAGGGCTGGGGCGTGTGGGCGGTACCCGGGTGGCAGAATGGGGCGCTGTGGGCTGAGCTGGGGGCACAGGAGTGGCCGAAGGGAGCTGGGGGATTGTGACTCAGATCTGGGAGTTGCTGCTGGGTCGGTAACCTGAGGGGTGCTGGGGTAGCTCTGGGGGGCACCGAGGCGGTGGGGTGGGACTGCGGAGCTGCTGAATGGTTCCAAAGCCAGGAGATGCCCAAGCTCATCAGACTCTCCTCTCTCCCCACCAGGCACCAGAGGCATCCAGAGGAAAGTTACACTCTGGCAGTGTTGTCTCCAAAGGCTTCTGAATGGCTCCGGTTAAAATCAGCTGTGTGGTGTCTTTCTCCACCCAGGTGCCTGGGGGTTCCCTCTGGGGGGCTGAGTGTGGGGCTGATCCCTCTGAGCTGCCCGGGTCTTGGAAGAGGTGGGTCAGGGCATGACAGGGTGCAGTACTACCTCACCTTGTTAATCAGATGGGCAAGGATTCACATCATTCTTGCTCTCTCAAAATGGGATGTTGTTCCTGTAGGTTACCAGAGAATTCCATGCTTCTCCCCATGTCCAGAACAAGCTAGAGCTGGAGGGGAGGGCGTTTAGGGAGGGGTTGGTACATGATGCTGTGTCCCTGCTGTGTGTGCAGGACCCCAAGTACCCCAAGGCAGAGAACCTGCTGAGTGAGGACAGCAATACAGCCCTGGCTTGGCTGCCCCAAGGATCACAGCAGGCAGCTGAGTGTGGAGCTGTGACAGGAGACAGCCAGTCCCATTGGCTGTGTTGACATTGATACTTCCCTGTTCCCCACTCCCGTGCAGGAGCCAGGGCCATGCCCCACAATGGGGTCAGCAGCTCTGAGCCCCCTTGACCCTGTCCTTCTCACTGCTCCCCAGGGAACTACAGCTGTGCCTTTCTGCAGTCTGAGGTGGGATGCTCCTCATGGCCCTGCGACCAGCCCTGTCACACCTCGGTGCCCACTGATGACACCAGCTGACTCAAAGCTGGACCAGAATCACTGCAGGGTTCAGAGGTTTTAGGAAGGTAAGGATTGATCCAAAGGAAAAAGGCATGGGGAAGAGCTGTGGGCCTGGTCATGGCATGGAGCTGATATGGAGGGATGGTGATGGAATGGGGCTGGCAGTAGGATGTGGCTGATAGGAGGGTAGAAGAAGGACAGGTAGGTATGAGTTCAGGTAGACCAGGGGTTAGGGTTGTTTATGGGCTCAGGAAAGCTGTACCACCTCTGCTTCCCTGCCCGTTCTCGTGCCCATAATCCCCCAGATGTCCTGGGTGGCACAGCAACAGAGCCACAAGCAGAGCTAGGAGTGGTGTTGGGACGGTGGCCAGTGCTCTTCCCCACAGCAGAGCTCAGAGCTGAAGATTGGAGCAGACATGGGACCACGTGCTGTGACAGCTGCAGCTGGTCTGAAGCTGCACAGTTAAAATTGGCCATAACAGACCCAACTTGGCCAGCCTGGTACATTAAAGAGTAGAGGTAAACAAGTTCCTGGGTAAGACAGTGATGAGTTGGATTCAATCTCCAACAGGGGAGCCCAGCCAGTCCCATTCAATCATGAATGCAGACATCAGCTGGCCAGTGAGCTGGGTGGTGCTGAGACCCCAGCCAATCAAATGTTCAAGTGCAGGAATTCTGAAGCCCCTATAAAAGGGGATGCCCCTCAATAAACATTGGCTCTTTTTGCAGGAACTCAGTGTGTTCAGTCGTGTGCCTGTCTCCAACAGTGTGCAGCTCACCTGCAGCCAGCTCTTCAGTCCATGCAGCTGCTTTGGGCTCTCCTTCATCTGCCTGCACAAACCATGGGGGCAGGAGCCTGACCCCCCACAGCCCCCCCTGGACACAGTAGGTGTCCCTCACACTTCCATGTGTCCCTCTCCGTGGGGAGGCAGCAGGAAGGGGCTGCCCCTCCACGGACACCACTTGTGCCCCATGGAAAGCCCAGGAGGTGCTTGCTGGGCTGAGCTAGGGGCTGTGCCCAGAGTGCTGGGCACAAGGAACCTCTCTCGATTGCCTGGGGCCTCTCCTTGTCCCACAGGAGGATGCTGAGCTCTCAGACAGACCCTGGTGCTACAGCTCTGCCTTTCACAGGACTTTCTTTCCTGAATCATGCATTTACGTGGCCTGACATGGTCCACCCCATCCTGTCCCTGCACAGTGTGGCCTGGAGCTCCTTGATGTGCTTCCTTGGAGCCCAGAACGGCAGCTCACACCAGCCTTGTCCTAATGTCACCCTGGTTTTTTAAGATTTTCTAAGCCTTCTGTGTTGACATTCTTGTAGGGAACTTTCTCACACACTTTCTGTAAATAACTCATTGTTTTGCATTCCTTTATGGAGGAGGAGAAAGTTGATAGACTGTTGGTCTGTCCAGTGTCATTGGAGAGGTGGCACTGTCACCTTCCAATCCACTGTCACTCTTGGAAAACTATAAATGTTGGAGTCAGAAAATAAACTTCCCTTTTTTCTTCACCTTGAGAACAGCGGGGTGCGCTTGTGTTCTTTCGTGTCCGATAGCAACACCCTCCTGCAAGGCTGCCCCTCCCTAGCCCCAGGAGATCCAGGGAGGAGAAGCAGCTGAGGAGGCACCTGTGGAAGCTGGAAGGGGCTGCCTGGAGCTCAGCCCACCTCAGCCACTGTGCCTGGACGGAGCTGTTGACAGCACAGAACCAGAACCAGGCACCAAGGCCCAGAGCTGGCAGGAGCACCCTGGGGCGTCACCTGGAGCTGCTGGCCAAGGATGTGGGAGGTCCTGCAGTGCCAGGTGAGTGAATCTGCACAGCTGTGTCCTGGGCTGGCCCCCAGCCACTGTGGGCAGCAGGGCAGGGGGGAATTCTGCCCCTCTGCTCTGCTCAGGTGAGAGCCCAGCTGTAGTCCTCCAGCTCTGGGACCCCAACATCAGAAGAGTGTGGAGCAACTGGAGTGAGCCCAGAGGAGGCTGTGGAGATGCTCTTGAGGGCTGGAGCCTCTCTACTGTGGAGACAGGCTGGGACATGCAGGGCTGCTCAGCCTGGAGACAAGAAGGTTCTGAGAACTGGCACCCCCTTCCACTGCCTGAAGGGACTTCAGAAGAGGGGCAATGGCCTGGGAGGACAAGACAAGGGGTAGTGGCTTCAAATTGACAGAAGACAGGGTTATATGGGATATTACAAAGAAATTCTTCCCTGTGAGGCTGGTAAGACACCAGCCCAGGTTGTCCAGAGCAGCTGTGGCTGTCCCATCCCTGGCAGGTAATCCCAGGGTCTCTGTCTTCTGCTGCCCTCACCCTGGCTGTTTACTGCTCTCAGCCTTTCCCAGACACTTCTGGACCCAGCCCTTCACTCTTTTGGGCTGGGAGGATGTGGCATAGGGTACCTCCAGCATGTTACCCCTCTGCAGGGCCCCAGCTGCCACCTCAAGGACACCCAGGGTGAAAGGAACAGCCCAAGCCTGTATCCCCCAAGAGAGACAAGGCAGGAGAAATGACAGAGGACACACCAGCAGTGAGGGGGACACAGCTGTCTGCCCCAGCTGCTTGGCAGGGCTGTCCTCTGGTGGCCAGTAAATGGGCATAGTGGTGGCAGTTCTTTAGCTGGGACACATCACTCCTGCTGGGGCCCTGGCACTGGAGGGGCATCACAGTCTATTCCCAGGCTGCCATAAGAACCATCAGGAAGGGTGTCAGTCCAAACCCCACATCATCCCAACACTAGTGAGCTTGTGACAACCATATCACCTTTGCTTTCCACAGGCCACTTCCTGCTGAATCTGCTCCCCACACACGCCTCCCCACTGTGGAGAAGAACCTACTGTAGCCTGGCCTTCCTTGTCCCCTGATGCCTGGCTGCCGTGCCCCATTTGCCAGCTGCCCTCTGGCATGGCAGAGATGGAGCAGCATGCCAGCAACTGCAGGGAGACACCAGGGGCCCTGTCCTCACCCCAGTGCCTGCAGTAGGACAGCAGAGCTGGGGACAAACCCTGTGTCACCACCCCTGAGGGCTGAACCTGCAGTACTCCAAGGGGCAGAGACACTGCAGCCCCCGGACATCTGTGGCAAGGCTGGTGTGAGCATGGAGGATGGAGAAGGTGCTTCCAGCCCCGTGGCCAGGTTTGCTGAGGTTTGAAGCACTGTAATGGCAGGGGTTGCTACTGGAGAAGAGGAAGTTAAAGGAGAAAAGTAAGAAGGACAGAAATCTGCACTATGACTGCTTGGGGGCACTGCAGGGTCCCTGGGTGAGCATCCTGCCTTGGGACACCCTGTGTAGTTCAGTGATAGGACAAGGAGGAGGTCATGCTTTTCCTCCCCTCAAGCCCTGATAAAGGTTCCAGTGCATGTGGACTGTAGGAGCAGGAAGCCAGGAGCCCCAGAGCAGGTGAAAAATACACTTTATTTACAAGTAGAAACATTTAAAAATGCTGCCTCAGCTTCCCTGGGAGGAACAGGAGGACCGGGCAGGTTGGGGGGTCCCACACACAGGGAGCAAAGGTGGTGACCCGAGGGATGCTAAGTTTTACCTCTGTCCCTGTACCCGAGGCTGCAGAATATCCCTGGGGAGAGCTCAGCCCCTCCAGCTGCAGCCTGGTGCCAGCCCCCGCACCCCTGTGTATTTCCAGCCCTCACCCTCTGTGCATCCCCTTGCCTTGGGTCCCGGAAGGGTTTAGGATGACAATGGGTACAGGAAGGGCAAGGGGGCCTTGCTGTGCCCAGGGCACCCCACAGTTGTCAGTGGGATATGCAAGGCAGTCGTGTGAGTGGCCCCACCTGTTCACCCTCAGTGCTCCTGGGCCCTGGGGGGGCAGGAAGAGGTGAGGGGGTGCAGGTGGGAGGCCAGGGCAGAGCCAGCACGCAGGGACTGGGGAAACCTCAGGATCGCTTGTCCTTGCGCGACTGGCGACTGGCCTGGAAAGGACAGAGCGAAGACGGGAGGTTAGGGACCACGAACGTGAGCGAGCCCCATGCTGGGACCTGCTGCTGCCATAGCAGCCCAGGGACAGCAGGACTGTGCCCCTTGTCCCCATGGCCTGTATGAACCCAAGGCAGGAGCTGGGGGCGCTGAGCATGAGCTCAGCAGCGTGCCCAGGGGATCAGGCAGTACCTACCTTGCCCTTTGGGGTCGTGGCGGTGGCGATGCGGGATGAGCGGCGGGTGCCGCTGGAGGCTGTGGGAGTGCTCCTCTGGGCCATTGCCCGGCGCAGCAGGCGCCTCCCCAGCTCCCTGGGGGTGTTGAGGATGCTGAACGCCATCGACTGGCGCCTCTGAGCCTGCAAAAGAGCATCAGGACCATTAGCTCAGCGTGGGGCAGGACAGAGGGCTCCCTCCCGATCCCTCTTTTTCCCTCTGAAACTTACTGGTGTGGCTGGGGCTTGCTGCTCGCTGTCTTGACTGGCCTGGGAGCCACTCTGCGCACTGCGGTCCTGGGAGCTCTGGGGCCGCGGGAAGCAGCTGGTTGGCTTCTTGGACTGGAAAACAGGGGATCAGCTAGTACTGCCATCTGGGTGTCAGCCTGCTGTGGGGCTGGCAGCAACGAGGGAACTGAGGGGCTGCAGGGAGGGGATGTGATTGAGGGTAGCAGTGCCCAGGGAGGGTAGAAGGCTCAGCCTTTCGCCTCTGGAATGGCCTCCTTGCCAGCACTGGGAGCATCACGAGTACTAGAGACACCACTGGATGCTGGAAATAAGGGACACTGCAATCCAGGATCAGTGGGAACATGTGGCGAATGGTGTCCACAGCAGCTCCCTCAAAACCTGGAACACCTCTTGTTCCCAGTAGGGTGCTGTGCTGGGGGACTGGGCTGAGCTCACCGGGGGGGTGTCAGGGCCCTGGTGGGTCTCCTCCGAGAGGCGTTTCCTCCGCTGCCGGGTGGTGATGCTGCTGGCCTGGCTGCTGCGCTGGCTGCCGGTGGCCATGGGCTGGGAGGAGTGCCTGCTGCCACGCTGCAGCGTCTCTTCTGGGTCCCCCATCTTCACATCCTCATCCGTGATGGTTCCCAAGGAGGTGGAGGGCTGGGGAGGAGATGTGGGGATGTTGCTGAGGGGACATATCCGTTCCCAGACCCACTTCCCAAACCCCAGTTCTGGACAAAGGGCTGCCTGACCTCCCCCTCCCGGCCCTTACCATGCTCTCTAGGGGGTAGCTGGTTTTCAGGTGGGGAGGGCGGGCCTGGTTCCGCCGCTGCAGCTCCGCAATGCGGTTCCAGTCATCCATCTGCTCTGGCTCATCCTGGCACATGCCCAGCTTCATGGTGCTCTGGCCTAAATCCAAAGCAAGGAAAGATGAGGGGGCTTCCAGGTAAGACCTGACTCCCCCAAGGCAGGGCAGAACCCCACAGCCAGCAGTCCAAGTGCTCCCCGCCCATACACACCGAGGCTGGAGCTGCTGGTCCGCTGCAAGCGCAGGGAGCTACGGGTGACTGGTCGGTACCCAGGGAGGCCCAGCAGTACTGAATGGCCAGGGGTCTTCTCTGGGGAGGAGGCTTCCAGCTTTGCAAGGGTTTCCTGGGAGGAGAAGCTGGTGAGGGAGCGGGTGGAGGCACCTGAGCGCAGACGGCCCTTAGCAGGGGAAGATGTTTTTGTGGAATGAGCCAATGGGATGTTCTTGATGCAGACCAGTTCCTCGGGCTCTGCCTGTTTCTGGGAGAGAAAAATCCACAGATAGGTTTAGGTTGAATGGACCTTAAAGCTCATCTCCTTCCACCTCTTCCTTCCCTTGGCTGGGACACCTTCCACTAGACCAAATTGCTCTAAGCTGCATCCAGTCTGGCCTTGAACACTTCCAGGTATGGGGCAGTCACAGCTTCTCTAGGCAACCTCACAGGGAAGAATTTCTTCCCAATATCCCATCTAGCCCTGCCCTCTGTCAATGGGAAGCCACTCCCCCTTGTCCTGTCACTCCAAGCCTATGTCCGGGAGTCCCTCTCCAGGTCTCTTGGAGCCTCTTTAGACACTGGCAGGGGCTCTAAGGTCTCTCTGGAGCCTTCTTCTCCCCACTTTCTCAACCTATCTCCAGAGCAGAGGGACTTCACCCCTTGGAGAGCTTCTGTGACCTCCTCTGTCCTTGCTCCAGCAACTCCATGTCATTCTGACATTGGGGCCCCAGGGCTGGAAGCAGCTCTGCAGGTGGGGGGGTCTCAGCAGAGTGGAGCAGAGGGGCAAAATGCCCACATTGCACCGCTTCCCACTGTGCTGGGGGGATCAGCTGAGGACATGGCTGGACTTTAGGCTGCCAGTGCACATTGCCAGGTCATGTTCAGCTTTTCAGTTCCCAGCATGCTGGGTCCCTCTGCAGTGCTGCTCCTGATCCCTGCATTCCCCAGCAGGGGCCCCCTGCTCACATCTGTCATGGTGATGTTGATGGTGGTGCGGCGCCGGGCAGAGCGGGTCTTGCAGCCGGAGTCGAGCGAGAAGTCTCCCGGGAAGTTGGCGCTGCTCTGGAGCTGTGACCGCCTCTCAGAGAGGATGGGAGTAAAGTAGAGACTCTCCAGGGATGACTTTGTCTGGGGCAGCCGCTGAGACAGCAGTGACTCTTCACTGTCTGACGGCACCACTGAGACTTCCAGCTGAGAGCTGGCAGCCTTCCTGCGGAGACAGGGGGTGAGGGTAGCACCAGCAGGCCGACCAGGCCTGGGAACGGTGGAGTTTTGGGGTGCTGGAAGCAGATGGATCTGGTACCTGGGGGAGCTGAGCTGCTGTGCCTCATTGAGGCTATCAGTGCTCTGGTCAGCCACACTCTCAAAGGAAGCCTCATGTCCCTTTACTGTGGCAGTCTTCTCCTGGAACTTGCTGAGTTCCTGCACCTGAATGGGAAACAGGGAGGAATGGATGGATCTGTCCTCCAAGTGAAGTGGTGATGGAAGCGAGGACAAGGAGGGTGAAGCTCAACTATGCCACACCCACCTGAGCTTCCAGGCTGCGAATCTGGCTGGTAAGAGTCTTGCAGCTCATCTCAGACTCCTTGGCCTGCAGGATGCTCTCCTGTAGCTCCTTGGCCAGCCTCTCTGATTTGCTCTGAAGCTCTGTGTTCTCTTCCTGCAAGTGCTCCATGGCCTTCAGCTTCTCTGATAGCTCCTGGTTCTGCTGCTTCTTGGCATCATAATGACTTTTTGCCTTCTCCATCTAGGATACAAAGCAGAGGAATCCTGTCAAGCTTCCCAGCAGTGTCAGGGACAGCAAGGCCATACCAGCCGCCAGCATACCTGCCCTTTGTAGTGCTCAGCTGCCTGCTCCTTCTGGGCGAGCTGCACCTGCAGCTCTGTCACCTTCTCCTGATGGCTTGTGACTGCTGCCTGCAGCTCCCCTTCCAGTGCCTGTGGGCAGGGAAGAGACTGGCTTAGAGGCAACCCAGCTGAGCCCCCTGGCAGCACCAACAGCTCCAGGGCTCAGCCCCCAGGGTTTTGGTCCCTCTTTACTTTAACTCTCTGCTGCTGGGTCCAGGTGGCCTTCTCATGCTGAGTCAGCTTTTTATTCAGCTCATCCACCTGGAAGAAAGAACATGGCTTGGTGAGACCAGCTCCAGCCACAAAACTACCATCTTCCTGTGGAGGAGCACAGCCCCTCCTCTCTAGCCAGCTCTAGGGCACAATGAAGAAATTTCCTGCCACAGGGCCACTGTTCAGCACCACCCACTGCCAAGGAAGATCCCAGGACATGCCAAGGTGACCGTCACCCACCCCATGTTAATCCTTACAGCAAGGCTGGCTGGAGCTACCCAAGCAGAAGGAGCAGTCACAGGCTGGAAGCAAAGCCTCTGTTAAGTCCCCAGTGCCCAAGCACTTGCAACCTGGAGTCCCACAGGTCATCCAGCACTCTTGACACAGGGAGCTGGCTGCTGCAAGTTCTGGCCTGGCCATGCTCTCCCTGCTCCAGGGGATGCTTGAGGAGCCCTCAGCCCCCTGCTCATAGCCACAAGGTCTCTGCAGAGTCCTGGGCAGCTCTGGCTGGGACTGGACAGGGAAATGTGGCTTTTCCAGCATTGTTTCCCAAGTGCTAACTCCTACCACATCGGAGATCAAGGCTGCTCTAGCCACATCTGGCCTATGCTGTCTGAGCACAGCTGTTCCTATTGGTTGTGCCAAGAGCTGGGCCTTGGTTAAAGGTGGGGGAGAAGCCATCCCAGCACTGGGATAGTCCCATGCTGAGGAGCCCTGCATGCTCCTGGCAGCCACTTGCTGCGTGTGCTGCCATGGGCCATGTCAGAAGCCATGCCAAGTTGCAGGCACTAATGTGAGGGAGCAGGTGGCAGGATGGGAGCCCAGTTGCTACCCCCTGGAGCTGAAGGTGCCCAGAGACTTGGAGCCAAGGGCCCCATGGCTGGGTCCATGCTGTGAACAGTTCACAGTGCTGTACAGTACACAGTTCACAGTACAGTACAGAGGAGAGGGTGGCTCCAGCAGGAAGTGACAAACAAGGAGGGCTGTGCACTGTCACTGAGCAGCCAGCCCGTGGTCTGCGTTACCTGCTTAGTTTGGTCCTTCTGGATTATCTCCAACTGCTCCACCTGCAAGCACAAAAAGTAGAGGTGAGTACACAGCTGAGACATAGGCTGGTTTTCATACAATCATGGAGTCATTTAGGTTGGAAAAGCCCTCTGAGACTGAGTGCACTGCCAAGACCACCACTAATCCACGTCCACATGTCTGTTAAATCCCTCCAGGGACAGGGACTCTACCACTGCCGTGGGCAGACTGTGCCAGGGCTGGAAAACCCTTTCAGGGAAGGAATTTTTTCCTAATAGCCAACCTAAGCCTCCCCAGGCACAACTTGAAACTATTTCCTATTGTCATGCCACTTGTTAACTGGCAGAACAAGTTACCTGGGAGACCCCCATCTGGCTGCATCCTCTTTTCAGGGAGCTGTTTCACCCTTTCAGGGGGGAGACAGTCCCCCCCCAGCCTCCTTTTCTCCAGGCTTAGCCCCCCTCCCAACTCCCTTAGCTGCTGCTCCACATCATTCCCGTGCATTGCTGCCCTTCTCTGGAAACACTCCAGCACCTGCATGGGACAGTCCCTTTCACACCTAGAAATGTGTCCCCACACCCCTAGTCCCTGTGCTGAGCAGGACATAGATTCAGGGCTGAAGTGCAGAAGGCTGAACACATCCCTTTGCCAGGAGGGTTCCCCCATCCACATCCCTCCTGCTGGGAGTAGAACCCCTACCCGACTTGTCAATCTCTGCTTCTCTTCCAGGAGCTTCTTCCTCTCTTCCAAGGCTGCCCCCTTGCTGTTCCAAGACTCCTGCAGGGCCCGCTCCTTTTCTGCCAGCTGCTCCCGCAGCGACCGCACCTCGGCCGCCTCCAGCTTGGCCTGCGCTAGCTCGGCTTGCAGCGTGGACACAGCTTTTGCTCTCTGCTCCAGGTCCTGGCGCTGCTGGCTCTCTAGGGAGGCGTGCCTGGCCCGAGCGCTGTCGAGCTCCTGCTGCAGAGCAGCCAGGAGCTGCTCCTTCTGTAGGCACTTGTCCTGGCAGACCTTTGCCTCCTGCCGCAGCTCATCCTCCCGCTCGCTCTGGCTATGCCGGTCCCTCTTCAGGGCCTCAATGGTCATCCGCTGCTTCTCCAGCTCGTCCTGGCACCGCTGCACCTCCACCTTCATCAACGAGCACCTCTCAGCTGCACGGGAGGCTGCGGTGGCCATCTCAGTCTGCAGCACCCGCAGCCTCTCCTCCAGCTTCTTGCTCTTCTCCGACTCAGCCAGGATCAGGCGTTTCAGCTCCTTGCTCTCCCCTTCCTTCTCTTTCACCTGGTGATGGAGGATGGAGACCTCCTGCTCCAGGCTGCTGATCAGGCTGTTCTTCCTCTCAATCTCCTGGACACACTGGGACACTTGTTCCTTCCAGCTCTCCTTCTCTTGCACGGCAGAGCGGAGGGACACCAGCTCCTTCTCTGCAATCCGCAGCTGATCCATGGTGCCTTCCAACTCCTTGGACTTGAGCTTCTCCTGGGACAGCTGCTGGGAGACTCCCTCCAGTGCCTCAGCAGCTCTCTGGGCATCCGCCTCCAGCTTGGCCACACGCTGGGCTGCAGCTTGCTCTGCCACAGCCATCTTCTCCTGAAGGGATGACATCTCGGCCCTTAGCTTCTGCTCCTCGCTCTCCTTCTCCTTTGCCCATGACTGAGCGCTGGACAAGTCAGCCTGGAGGCCAGCCAGCTGCTCTGCCTGGGCCTCCAGCACAGCCACCCTCTCCTGCTCAGCCTGCAGCTGCTGACAGGTCCGGCTGTGCTCCCGGCTCAGCGCCTGCATTTCCTCCTTCAGCCGCCTGCACTCTTCGTCTTCCCCTCGGGTGGCAGGAGAGGCTCCCACGGGCTGCTCCTGGCTCTCCTGTGACACCTGGCGTGTGGCCAGCTCCTCACCCTGCTCTGGCAGGGCTGGCTCCCGGCCCTGAACCAGCTGCTGTTTCTCTGCCTCCAGCTCAGCGATCCTGGCCAGGTTGCCTTCCAGGCACTCAGCTGCCCGTCTCTTCTCGTCCTCCAATATTCCCTCAGTGTTCCGCAGGGATTCCTCCAGGAAGAGCAGCTGCTCCTGCAGGCGGCTGTTCTCCCGGGCCAGCTTCTCCCTCTCAGCCAGCCTCTGCTGGCTCTCCTTCAGCCTGCCCTCCAGCTCCTGCAGCTGGGCTTTCAGTGCCTCTGCTGCCACTCCCTGCTGCCGTTGGGCACTCAGCTCCAGGATCTGGGCTTCCAGTTCGCCCACCTTGCGGCTCAGCACAACCTTCTCCTCATCCCCGGCCTGCAGCTGGCTGCTGAGGGATGTGTTGGCCTGCTGGAGCTGCTGCAGGGCAGAGTCCCTTTCCCGCAGGGCCTGCTCATGCTGGGCGCTCAGGGCAGCCAGCCGCTCAGCCTGCTCCTCGGCAGCCCGTGCCTGCAGGTCTCGCTTCAGTCTCTCCTGGGCCCGCTGGCTCTCAGAGAGGGAGCTCTGGAGGCTGGTGACAAGGCTGTCCAGCTGCTTCTTCTCCACCTCCAGCTGCTGCTTCTCCTCCTCCAGCTGCAGTCCTTTGGCCGTGAGGCTGGACACTTCCTGCTTCAGCTCCTCCAGCTGGCAAACAGAAGAGCAGGGAGACTGTATTGGGTCTGACTGAGACAGAGAGATAGTGCTGCTCAGCAAAAACACCGGTTTGTTATCAACACCTTTCCAGCTACCCATGCAAAGCACAGCACTGTGAAAGCTTCCAAGGGAAAATGAACTCTTAACCCACCCCAGCCAGGGTCTGGGAGTGGGCACAATGAGGCCAAGCAACACAAATTAACCAAAGGGATATTCCACACCATATGATGTCAGCTCAGATATAAAAGCTAAGGGACATGGGAGGAATGGAGGGCAGTCATTATTTTAGTGTTTGCCTTCTGGAGCAGACACTACACGTGCTGAAGCCCCGCTTCCCAGGAAGTGTCTAAACAACACTCACTGATGGGAAGTAGAGATTAGCTTTTCTCTTTGCTTATACACACAAACTTTCACTCTTTTTGCTTTAAGTAAATTGCCTTATCTCAGCCTACTAGTTATTCTCCATCTTATTTTTCTCTCCCCTGTCCTGCTGGGAAGGGGAGTGATAGCAGAGCTTGGTGGGTGCCTGGTGCCCAGCCAAGATCAGACTACCACAGGGACAAAACATGCACCTCCTAGGTGTTACTCAAGCTGTAGCCAACAGGCTCACCAGAGCCCCACATGCTGCATCCCACTGGGAGCTGCCCAGTGCCTGCCTTCCCTCTCACCACACCCCAAGGGCACCTTGCTTTTCCCTCAGCCTTGTGCCACTCTGGTCCCTTGGACCAAACCTTCTTTTCACCGTGCAGGAGATGCTCTCTTCACAACCAGTTAATATTGTGGCAGGCTGGGGAAGCTCCCTGGCAGCAGTATTTGCAAATTCAGCCCAAAAGGAGCTCTCCCAGAGTGCTCAGCCCCACATCCCCTAACCAGCAGCAGAGAGCAGCAGGCTCTGCCCCACATGGCTTTGCCATGCATCTCCTGGCACCTGCTGCTCTCTCCAACTGGAGTCGTTTACCATTCAAGCCCTTGAAGCTGCAGAAGCCCCAGTGTACCTTCAAAATGTCCCCCATGACTTCCCCCTTCTCCTGGGCACTGCATTCCTCCAGCTTGGCCAACTGGTCCTCCAGCATCGAAATCTTTCCCTGTAGAATCTCAATTTTCTCTTCTGAGCATTTCTGGAGACAGAGATGGGACTGAGCATGGTGCAAGACAGAAGAGCCAACCAACCAAGGAGGGCAGCCCGTCCCACCCTGGGGAACCCTTCCTTAGTTTCAGGGAGAGGCTTCCCACAGGAGCTGACAGTTACACAGCTTCTCCCTGTGTGCTGGCAAAAATGGGCAGGAGGGCTCCTGGCTGCTGCACCCTGCTTGCACTTGCTGTGTCCCCCAGCTGGGGGGGACCCTGGGGAAGCTACGGGGGGGCACCCACCACCCCCCAAGCCCCCTGACCTTATCCTGCATTGCTGCATGCAGCTCCTTCTCCAGCTGCCGCTGCTTTTCCTGTGACTGTGCCATGGCACTGTTGTGCTCCTCTGAGAGCTCATTCAGGGCTCGCTGCAGCTGGACCATATTGCTGGCGATCTCCCGCAGCTGCCAATGAAAATCCACCCAGTTCACAAGAGAGGCAGAGTGTGCCTTTGCTGCTCAGGGCTCTGCCCACTCCCCATTCCCAAGAGCTGCAGCACACATGGGCATCCTGGGTTCTGGGTGTTCACCACACGCAGGCAGCTCCACCCAGCCGCCATTCCCCCACCAGAGTTCCTATTTGGATCAGGATCCAGAGCCCAAGGCAGGCTTGGTCACTGGGTCAAAGATCGCATTAGCAGAACCATAAACATCCCAGCATCCAGCACTGCCATCAAATCCTCCCCCCGGGCTCCATCACAACCAGCTGGGCTGTGGGACATGGAGAGGACACTGCACCCCGTACCTTGAAGGAAAGATCCCCATTCTCCTCAGAGAGCTGGTTGATTTTTCGGTCCATCTGGGCTTTTTCAGTCTTCAGGTCCTGGCACTGCCTGAAGGCCTCGTGCAGGCGCCCCACCAGGCTGTGGGAAAGGAGCTGCTTAAGGAAGTGCTTAAGGAGGCGGTGCATGCTGGCAGCAGGCAAGGATATCACCAGGGATCGCTGCTGCTGGATATTGCCACAGAAGCTAAAGGTTCCAAGGGATCTCCATGCCTTGCTGTGACTCTGCCATCAACCCAGCTCTAAACCTGGCTCCCAACAGGTGGCAAAGCAGAGTAGAGATAAGCAATGTTTGTGCTTTGCAGAAGCCCAACTGCTCCAAACTGAGAGCAGAGGCAGCGGTGGGACTCCAGCCACCCCCCTGCAAAGGGAAATAAGTAAGGAAAGGACAAAAAAAGACATGGCACTTCCAGTGGAGTTTGGGCAGCCTTCCCAAGTAAACAATGGCACAGGGACAGAGCAAAGACCAGGATGCAGTGTGACAGGTGATTTCAAGTGTGTGACAAAGCCCAGTACATGGGATCAAAGTAAAGGCCTGGGAAATGGGCTGGAGTCAGGAGTTCCAGGATCACCCTGAAAGCTTCCCCTTTTCCAGGACAGGTGAGACCCACAAGGGCAGCACACCCTTTTCACATAACAGGAATAGCTGCTCCCATGCAGGGTTTGGATTAAGAGTGGGCTGTTAGAACAGGCTGCATGGTTTGGGACTGGATCCATGCCCACTGCAGTAAAAATGGGCTGCAGGCCATAACTGCCCTGAGGGCACGGTCAGCGTGATGGTGGGCACAGCTGTGTCATGGGCTGATCCCACAGCATGGGCAACAACGGAGGAGGGGATTCTGCTCCCCTCTGGTGGGACCCCATCTGCAGAGCTGCCTCTGGCTCTGGGGTCCTCAGTATCACAAGGATGTGGAGCTGCTGGGGCAAGTCCAGAGGAGATGCTCCAAGGGCTGCTGGAGCCCCTCTGCTCTGGAGACAGACTTGGAGAGAGACCTGAGGGTGTTCAGCCTGGAGTTGAGAAGGCTCTGGGGACACCACAGAGCACCTTCCAGCACCTAAAGGGGCTCCAAGACAGCCAGAGAGGGACTTTGGACAAGAGTCAGGAGTGACAGGACAAGAGGGAATGGTCTCCCACTGACAGAGGGCAGGGTTAAATCGGATATTGGGCAGAAATTCTTCCTTGAGAGGGTGATTGAGCCCTGGCTCAGGTTGTCTAGAGAAGCTGTGGCTGCCCCATCCCTGGAAGGGATTCAAGGCCAGGTAGGAGGGGGCCTGGAGCAACCTGGTCTAGTGGAAGGTGGCTCTGCCCATGGCAGAGTATTTCAGCTAAATGAGCTTTCAGTTCCCTTCCAACCCAGCCCCTTTTTTGATTCTGTGCCTGCTGTCTTCTCCTCAGCACAGAGAACAAGAAAGTTTGCTTTCTCCCCTGTTTCATGTACTGCTAGGGAAGAGACAGACAACATAAGAGTCTGGGGATGTGGGAGTAACCAGATCCCACCTAGGAGGAAGGAGTCGATGTTCCTGGAGGATTACCTCTCATTCTTCTCCCTCAGCTCCTCCATTTCTTTGGGTTCCAGCAGGTCTTCAGCTTGCTTCTCATTGAGCTTTACCAAGCGATCAATCTGCTGCTGCATCCTGGTGATCTGAGCATCTGGGGAAGGGGGCAAGAAAGGGCCCATTACCAACTTTTCATGTCACCTGAAGACCCCACAACAGCATTTCTGCACAGAAACCCTCTGCAGCAGGAGATCAAAGAGCCGGGCCACCACCAGTGCTACTGCTCAGCATAGGTGTTGCTTCGGTCATGACTTTTGTTGCCCAGGATATATAAGGGAATACAAGATGGAAGAAGGAACCTGGAGTCTCACTTGTGGCATGGCAAGATGGACCATGCACAAGCAGAGTTGTGGTGGGGTCACAAAAGAAAAGTCAGAGAAACATGAGATCTCTGTCCCAGAGCCCTCCCTGCACCCCAGGATATACTGGTACTGACCCTTCTCCATAACGAGCTTGTGAGTCTCTACCACCTCCACCTCCAGCTCTTCCTGTTTCTTTCTCTCAAAAGCCAGCTGCACCTTCAGCCTCCGCAGCTGAAACTGGGGGGTCTGCATGATGTCCCCCATGGGCGAAGACTGAGTGCTGGGCAAGCTGCAGAGAGACACACACAAGCTGGATTATCCTGAGCCAGCCCAGGCCCCATGCAGCCAGACCCACTCTGCTACCCCCATCTCTGGGGCAGGTTCTCCTGCCTGCATCCCCAAGGAACTGCTGCCTTAAAAATCTAGGAACAAAACAGCACACATACAAAACAATTTTCATCAAGGAGGTAATATAAAAACTGGTCTTTCATTGGAGGCCTCCAGGGGCAAATATGGAAAAATGCCTCCACTGGAGACAGGGTTTAGTGGTGGCCTTGGCAGAGCCAAGGGCACAGTTCGACTCGATGGTCTCAGAGGGCTTTTCCAACCTGAACAATTCCATGATTCTAAAAGGAGCTGGAGCCCAAGCTCACCTCCATCATCCATCCCCACATCATGCTGAAGCAACATGCAGCAGGAGAGCACCAAGGCAGAACAGGGCATTCCGGGGAGTCAGCGTGCAGCCTGGCTACACCTGCGGGTCCCAAAAGCCGCCCCACCCACCCCTCCCTTCCTCCATTTCCCGTGGCAGCCAGGAGGCAGGGCACGTACTTGGCGCTGGGGAAGGAGGCGATCCTCTGCAGCTCCAGGAAACGCACCTCTCTCTTGCAAGGGAGAGAGAACAGTGGGGAATGCTCCTCAGAGCTGCTGCTGGACACACTGGACAAGGGCGGCTCCGCTGGAAATAAAAAGAGAGAACACAGCTCCCATCTTTAATATCTAAGAGGCTGAGCAGCTAAAATCTCAAGGGCACAGGAACCACAAATTCCAGTAGGGATGGAATAGCCAACTGAGGAAGCCAAATACCTGCCCTACATCCTCATCCCTCCTGCTCCACAGGCCTTCCCCAGCAACTCTGCTCCCACAAGACTCTCAGCATCCCACCTGCTCCTCTCCTCCAGGGAAAGGCTGAGGTACTGCTGAGTAGGAAGAGCCAGCAGGTCTGAGGTAGCCCTACTCTTAGGAGTTTACGGGGGACTGTTTTGTAGCTGAGCACACCTGGGTTGTGCAGCTGCCTTTACAGCTGGGCAGCTACAGCAGCACAAACAGGAGGAAAAGCCAGGGCAGCACTTACCTTTCCTCTGCAGAAATGGCTCCAGATTTTCATTCAGGCACTCCTCGTTATCCAGCACAAATTTGACAATTGATGCCAGTTCAACCTGTGTTGGAGGAGCTGCAGAGTTAGTGGCTCTGCTGCAGGTCACAGGCAGCACCACAGCAGGCATGGGGCAGCTCCCTGCCTGCCTGTGCTGCTGCCCACACTTGCCTGCCACAAGCTCTTGATAGCCCAAAATCACCAGTGAGCACCACAGTGCCCACTCCACACCATCTTTCAGTGAGACCCAGGAGTGCAAGTCCCAGAGCACCTTCCCCCAAAGGAACCGCTGCTTCCCCCTGCACCCCAGACCCAGAGGAGGAACCCCAAAGGGATTACCTGGGTCTTGTAGTCGAATTCATTCCAGTCCCCAGAGTCCTTGGAACTTACGGAGGTGTGATACAGGAGCAGCACGGCCACCTGAGCAAGGCAGGAAAAGCATGAGTAACGCCAGGCCAGCCACAAGCACATTGGTGCCATCTGGGACTAAAACATGCCACACAGTTACCTTGGCCAGGGCCAGCTCCTCTCCATCCAGGAGTTTCTGTGCAGAGACAAGGTTTTCTGCAGCCACTTTGTGCCGGCAGTGCTCTGCAACAGAAGCAGAGTTCCCAGTCACACAGGAGCCACTGGGCACACTGCCTCCCCTGAGGTGGCACTCATGGCCAGGAGGGCACTGTAATGCATCCCCAGGGAAGGGACATGGGGCAGGAGGGGCTCTAGAGCTGAGATCCCAGTGGTCAGCCTTGGCCATTAGCTCTGACCGACTTTCATTCCCCTCCCTGGAATTCCAACCTAAATCCCAGCCTCCCCATCTTGGCATCTCCCCTCCAACATCAGCACAAACAGAGAGCTCCATCTCTGGGTGGGATATGAGGTGGGATATGGAGTCTTCCCTCGAGGAAAGACTGAACAAGAGTGAACCAGGAGTGAATCCTGATGTTAAGTGCCAGACGTGATAACACACTGAACAAGAGTGTGAGATATTGCCCATTTCCCCTCCCAGGATTTCTGCTTGGGTAAAGGGATTTTTCAACTGGGATTTGAAGAGCAGGTACCCAACTAGGAAAACTGCTCCAGGCAGCATCACCAGAGCAGCCACTGGCACCCTGCCCTTCACACCCAGAACCTCCTTTGCTCTGAACCCAGACTCTGATAAGGATTTCCATCTGGAAGTTTCCCCTTCCACAGGCTGCTGCAGGAAAGCTGCTGGCACCTCACAAAGATGCTGATGTGGGGTGAGGGGGTCACTTTGTGGAGAGGGAAGCTGCAGACAGCAGACCAGCCTCTCTCAGAGGTGAGGGGCACCGAGCAGGGGCAGTTGCTTTCCCCAGCACCAGCGGAGGGTCTTACTCTGCAGGAAACCATGGATGAAGGAGATCCTCTCTGGCAGCGGCTGCTCCAGCACAGACTCCCCCTCCTTGCTCCCGTGGCTGGAAGAGTGCAAGGTGTGCATTAACTCCTTCTGGAGGGATTAGACCAACGTTGAGGTTTGTGCAGCAGGGTTTGCTGAGCCAGGGCTGCCTCTGGGGCGCTGCTTTGCCTTCTGCCCCCACGCCGGGGCCAGCAGAGCCAGGACCAACCACACGGAGCGGAATCTCCTGGAATCCCCCTGCTGGAGCCAGGCAGCAAACACCCCCCTGGCACTGCTTCCTATTCTGCCTGCCAGCACCAGCATCCAGCACAGCACAGGGAGCTTGTGGTGGCCCCACTGGCCGGGAAGCACCACAGGGGCCAGTCCGTGCACGCAGCCTCGGGCTTTTCTTGCTGGATTTTGGGAAGCTGAAGCTTCCTCTTGCACTTATTTGTGACTACACTCTTCCTGAGCAGCCACTAGTTCATGGAATATCCTGAGTTGGAGGAGACCCACAAAGGTTATTAAACCCAAGAGATGCTCAGAAATGGCACGCCCAAAACCCACACCAATCATGCTTGACCAGCACTGCTTCAGTACTGTCTCTTACTCCCAAGGTGCCAAAAACAAGAACCTGGCCTGAGACAGGGGCTGCCATGAGGATTTGCTCCTCCTCACGGACTTTCTCTTGTGCCACCAGGAGGTCTCAGATCAGCCAGCTGCTGTGGCAGCTGCCCTGCTGCCACCCCACTTTATCAAGCAATGGCCAGGCCTCTTTAGAGAGCACACGCCACCAGGATCCCTACTAATCCCAGCTGGAGCACAGACCCAGGAGATTAACCAGATCTGACTAAATATATCTGTGGTGCAGGCAGCTCCTTCCTCCCCACCCACTGCAGGCAGATCCCTGCTCCAGGCAGGCTCTCCTCACCCTGTGCAGGAGGTAATTACAGCAGACAGGCTCCCAGTGAGCCTCCCACCGCAAGGGTTTGAAAGCAATGCATGGCAGCCTCACACCCTCTCAATTTGTTTTTGTCAGCTCCTTAGCCACCAGGCTTTGTCCCACCTCTGATGTCCATTATGGCCTGTAGATTTTAGTTGCCCCTTGCTCCCAGGGAACAAACACAATTCCTGAAGGAGGCATTCCTCCCACCCCTGCCCAGCCACCTCAGGTCCCAGGGCAGAGCACACAGGCTCCATCCTGACCACACTTCATTCAGCAGCAGCCTGATATCCCCAGGCTGCAGCACCTCATGAGGCAGAAACTGCCATTCTTTACACTGCTTTCCAGATACAAGGCTTCCTCAGGATCCCAAGGCAACTTGGCAACTCAGGAAAACTTGCTGGGTGTTCCCTCACCAGAGCAGCATCAAGAGAAATGGATAATCACCTATGCAGCTGCAGGAACCCTTGTGCCACTGGCAGCAGCACTCAGGTCTTTTCTACAATGCCAGGAGTGAACCCAGATGTTATGTGCCAGATGTGAAAACAAGTGTCAAACGACAGGAACTCTGACCAAAACAGAGCTCCCTGGGCAGCTCTGTGGGACACAACAGCTCTGCAGGCAGACCCCAGCTGTGCAGTGCCATAGAGGCGATGCAGATCTCAGTATCTCATAGGCCAGAGGAGGAATAAATACCCCAAGACCCCCACTCCCACCCTGCCCAAGACAGGAGCCTCTTAGCTCCTGTGGGCTGAGGCCATGGCTCCAGGGACAGCACAGACCCTGCTGTGTGGTCTGAAATGTGTACACAGCTCCCCATACTCACATTTTGTGGATAATTCTGATGAAGACACTACAGTCCTGGAGCTGGGACAGATCATTGAGGGGATCAGGACAAACCTTTGTGCTGTTCACCTAGAAATGGGGTGGGACAGTCAGAAGGCAGAAACCAAGACAACACTGTGCTGTGCCACTCACCACCTCCAGTCCTGGCAGGGGACAGCAAGACCGGTCTGGGGGTGAAAGTAAATCCACCCCTTTAAACCACCCCTTCCCAGGGAACAGATGAACATGATCCCCACAGCTCCACATCTGGGAGTCTGGCACGGGTCCCATTTATCACACTGCTGGAGCCCCTCTTCTCTGGAGAGGCTGAGACACCTGGGGGTGTTCAGCCTGGAGAAAAGAAGGCTCCAGGGAGACCTTAGAGCCCCTGCCAGTGCCTAAAGGGGGTTCAAAAGAGCAGGAAAGGGACTTTGGACAAAGGCCTGGAGTGACAGGACAAGAGGAAATGGCTTCCCACTAGCAGAGAGTAGGGTTAGATGGGATATTGGGAAGAAATTCTTCCCTGTGAGGGTTGTCCAGAGAAGCCATGGCTGCCCTATCCCTGGAAGTGTTCAAGGCTAGGCTGGATGTGGTTTGGAGCAACCTAGTCCAGTGGGAGGTCTCCCTGCCCATGGCAGGGCATTCAGCTGAATGAGCTTAAAAGCCCCTTCTAACCCAAACCATTCTAGGAGTTTTCACTTGGACACACAAGTGCTTTGTGAGACAGATCCAGCAACACCTTTACAGTACAGCTGCTGCCTGCTTCAGGCTCAGCTCCATCTCCCAGGCAGTCTCCATGACCAGACCAAGCCATTCCAGCATTTCTGGTTGCTCAACAGGAAGGGTGAGCAAGGCTTCTCCTGCAAACACCCACCTGCCCAGGAACAGTAGGAACTTGGCTACCCTAGGACCTGCCCCAGCCACAATCCCTCCTGTGACAAGCCCCAGCAGCGAGCCTCGAAGCAGCCAGAGCTGGCAGTGAGCTCCAGCACAGGAGGGGGGACTTACCCAAGCCAGGAGAGCAGCAACTCTTTCACCATGAAGTGCCATTGTGGCCAGCCTATCAGGTTCCTGCACAGACCTAAAAACATCAACAAAGGGGGAGGGGGGGATAAAAAAGGTAAACTACAGTAATTATGTTACTAAATTACTTGAGCCCAGCACCAGGCATTTGTGCCCGCCAAGGAAGGCCGTGTCCCTGCATCTGGCCAGCTGTGCAGGAGCAGCCAGCATCCTCCTGCTTCCCCACAGGCTCAGAGTGGGGAGCAGTGATGAGCAGCAGCCAGCTCCACTCCCACAAATTAGGATCCTGACAAGGGGTCAATGGAAAACTGCTGCTCAGGCTCCTCATTCTCCTGCTGTGCCTTCCTCCCTCCCTCACCTCCAAATGTCACTAACATTTCTTGCCCAGCAAGGCAGTGGCCAAGCCGTTGAAGCTCTGCCAGCTCCCCTTCCACTGCTGTAGTGAAAGAACCACCTGCTGGGGGCACAGGGAGCCCACAGCTGCACTGGGTGGGAGCAGGGATGAGCTGCCCTGACGGGATCTGGGATCACTGCCAGGTCCCCTTCACAGCGACCTTTGCCTCCACGCTGGCTGCCCCCAGTGCCACTTTGGCAGTCTTCCAGAGGAGGGGACCGCTGGGAGCCAAAAAGTCACCCAGATACGGAGGGGGCTCCTCAGCCGGTATTGCACTTGGACACCCGCACCATGACGGGCCAGGAGCCTGGCTGGGATCTGCAGCTGCTCGGCACAGCACAGCCAACCAGTCACGGTGGCTCTGGGGACTACAGAGCTCCCGCTGCCGTCAGTCCAGCTGGGACACATGGGATCCTCAGCAGGACAGGTCCTCCCTCCAATTTGGCTAAAACCCAGCTCCCTGTCCCACGGCTGGGTCGCTCAGCAACTACTGTCCCTCCCCTCGGTGGCACAGCCAAGACCTCTCTCTAAAAATCCACCCAAAGGCACCGGGCAAAGCACTCGTGCAGCGCTGGATGCAGACAGATCCTGGGTGAAAACCGTGTCCCACCAGCGTCGAGCTGGGTTTTACCAGAACCAGTCTGCGAACACACTGGTGCCTAGTGTGAGATCTGGACGGGCAGGCAGGGCTACCCGCTGCTGCCGCGGTCCCAGCCTGGCCTGTCACTGGTGACGCGGGCCACCCTGAGCGCCTGAGACAACTCCATGACCCTCCGTGAGGACGTGCCATTCGTGATGGCAGGCGGGAAGCGGTCGGGAGCCCGCCAGCGGCCGTGAGCGCCTTCCAGCTGCATCCCCGCCGAGAGCAGCAGCAGGGGGGCGGCGGGGACCGGGGAACGAGCTCCGGAGGTGGCGGCGGCCGCGGTGGCGGCATTGTCCTTCCCCTCCTTCCCTGCGCCGCTCCGGTCACAACACGGCGTTACGCAAGCCCGCGCTCCGGAGCTCCCGACGGGCCAACGCGCCGGGGGACGCAAAGCCCGCGGGCCCCGGGCTGTTCTGGGCCAGGGTCCGGCTGCGGGAAGCACCCGGGCGGGGTGAGCGAGCCACGGCAGCCCCCGGCACGGACGGGCCCGCAGCAGGCGCGGGGCAGAGGGGGAGAGCAGCCGCCGACCCGAGCGCCCGGATGTTGGCGAGCCCGGCGCGGCCACCCGCGGCCCCGGGGACCCGCGGCCCTGGGGACCCGCACCTCTCGGGGGCTGGCGCGGGGCCGGGCCGGGAGCCGTACGCTGCGGCGAGGCGGCGGAGCTAGGCGAGCTGAGCTCTGCCGCCCCCGCCTCGCTCCCGCCAGCCCCGTGGAAAACAAAACAAGGAAGAGGCAGAAAGTCTTTGTTGGGGCCTTACCGGGGCCGCGCGGCCGTCGTCGGCGCGCTGGGGTTAATCCGCCATGAGCGCTGGCAAGCCGGGAAGGGCCGGGGAGCCAGCGGCCACGCACAAAAGAAAAGTTGTTGAGCTTCTCTTCGGCGGGGCTGGCAGGCGGCGGTTCCCCTTCCTGGCCCTGCGCCACCCCACGTCACCGCGGCGGGGCCGCGCTCGTTAAAGGCGCACGGCACAGAAACCTCCGGCGCCTCGCCACGGAGGGGGGGGAATCGTCCGAGCCTGGACGCGCTCACTGCCGTCACCCTGCCCAGGCCGAGTGACGGAGAGCTGAGCCGGTGGGGCCGGCACAGACCCGTTCCCAGCCCCAGTGCAGCTCTGGGAAGCCGGGGCTCGGCAGAGAATGGCCCCCGATGCTACGTCTCCCTCTAACCTGACTGGGGTCACATCCAGCTGACCCCTGAAAATCTACCCCCGATACGCACACACCCCGCGGCCACAGATTGAACGGGAACCGGACCCTTCGGGTCACCAGCTAGATCAGGGAGGAGTCGGGCGGGGAAGGGACGCTCACCCCTCGCTGCTGTTCCGGAGACTCTCGGAAGTCATCTCCGCAGCGCCCGGGCTGCCTGAGGAGGCTCAGGGCCGCAGGATGGGGCTGTCCCGAGCACGGCACAGGAAGGGCACAAGGAGAAGGTTCTTTCAAACCGGCGCTGGGGGCAGCAGAGGAACTCGCAAGGAACGCGGCCGCCGAGTGCCGCTGGCGAAGGTTCCGACTTTGCCAAGCCCCGAGAAACGAAGAACCACACGCCCGAGCCACAGCGCTCCGGCCGCGACCGCCCCGTCCTCAGGGACGGGGACGCCGCTGAGCTTGGCCCGAGGAGGCTGTGCCACATGCGTGCCCCGCCCGCCCGAGGGTTCCGCACCTTGCCCACCTCGGCACAGCCTCGCTCTGCGGCCCTGAGCGCCCGCCGAAGGAACCACCGGCCCCCCGCCCCCGCGGGTCACCTCAGCTTTCCCCGTACCGTGACCGTGGCTGGGGATCGTCTCCGGCTTCGGCGTCGCCGGGGCTCCAGCAGTATTGACGATCCTCTCCCACGCCGGAGCCGCCAGGGTCCGGGCCGAGGCCGCTCTTATTCGAACGGCAGCGCCCGCCCCCGCTGCTGCCCATTGGGCACCGCCGGGCCGGGGGCGTCACGCGGGCGGGCCGGCCGCGAATGGCGGCGTTGGGCTCTCGCCTTGGAGCGGAGGGGACAGCGCCCCGCGGGTCACCGGGACGCACATGGGGCCATGGGCTACCTGGGGCACACGTGCAGCAGTCCAAGCGAGGGAAGCCCTAGTGTCGGGGGGGTTATAGGGGAGCCTGGGGCCAAGGGGAACACAGGCAGGGGCCACCCGTGAAGGTAGAGTGACACAGATGGGACCACGGGGGTGTGTGGGAGTGTGGGTCTCAAGCCCCCAGTCAGAGGTGAGGACACACATGAGAGGGAGTTGTGTGGGGCCACACGGAGTTCTGGAAGCCCACAGTGAGTCAAGGGGGCACGTGGGGGACTCTGGCAGGATGTCACATGCAGACACCCCACTCTGCCCTGCAGTGCCAGCTAGGCAGGGGTCCTCACCAGCCCCCAAACCTGTCCTGACCTACAAGTGGGGCCTCCTCTCACCTGGCAGGGTCCTGCGCTTGTCCCTGAAGCCACAGCCCTGTTTCATCCTGTAGAGGCCCAGGTAAGTTTAGTCATGGACTGGACTGTGGTGGCACATGTCCCCACCACTGCCCAGGCCCCACCAAGACCTGAGAAATGCTTGTTAGGCATTGGCCTTCACAAAGACCACCCAGACTAAGCCCCTCTTGAACTTATTGGATATAATCTGTACCAAGGAACTAACAGATGTTTATTGAGCATCTGTTTTTTAATGAACAGACTTGGAAACTTATTATTCTTGCCTGAGTAACAACCCAAGTGGAACAGTATTTTTGCTGTTGAACCTTCAACCAACTCAAATTGTGGCCAGGATGAAAAATTACTATGACTGAAGCCCACTATCTTGCGACCTAGACAGCAATCCAAAGTGAAACCCTTTGAGCTCTCAGTTATAAAGGCCTAATGCATACTGAAGCCCACTCTCTGATGACCCTATAAACCACAGTCCAAAGTAAGTCTCACTGAGCATTCTCTTCCCAGAACATAGGAGAGCTAATGCATATGTCTCAAGCATAGATAATTGGATGGCTGTGGAATCAACCAAGGACTGCTGGTAATAAACAAAGACTATTGATATTAACACACCATGAGAAAGAAAAAGATGTGTCTGAAGAAAGGAGGCAAGGTGAGAAAGGACAGCCCTGGAAAAACATCCTTGTTGTAGCTCCTGCTGACAAGCACAAGACGATACAGCACAAGCACAGGAATGAGTGGCAGGAAATGGGTAGGATTAAGATGACCAAGGACCCCCAAACCTGTCGGATCTATTTCCAGGAAGACCTGAAAGAACTGACTGTGCATGATAACTAATTTGCATAGAAAATGAGAAATCCATCTTCAGGCTGCGGAAACCTATCCATAAAAAGGTACCCTGCAATTTCCATGCCACGTGTGTAATTTACTAATGAAACTTTCTGATTATTTGCAAACCTTTTGACATTCCTTTCGATCTTGAGCATTTAGTAATCTCAGGTGCCTCCTTCCCCTTAAAGATGGGTCATCATACATTCCCTGTCCCCTTGTCCCTGTGGGACATGATCAAAGAGGTGACAAGGGACAGACAGATGTGTGTACCCCCCACCAGAGCATGGCTCCCCCATCATGTCCATGCTGTGTCCGATAGAGAACAGTGGAGACAGGCACTGGATGAACGTGGCTTTATCTACTGTGGCAAAAAATTATAATTAAAAAAAAAAAAAAAGAACAAAACCAAAAAACAACCAAAATAAAGGTCTAAACATGTAAAAAGGAGAAGGGATGGTGTTGGAGCCACCAGGCCCCATGCAGAGCATCACATCTGCCTGGCTCCAGCCCACCCATCCTGGTGACCTGGCTTATGGTGCTGACCCACACCGGGGCCTCCTTGCACCGGCTGTTCCCTTTGTGCTTGTCCCTGTGCCAGGCAGCATCCAGCTGACACAGCCTCTTCCCCACACACACCCACCCACCCACCCACGAGGAGGAGAAAGCCTCAAGCAATGCAGGTGGGCTCAATGTGCCAATGATGGGCGCCTTGGCATTTAGTAGGAAACAGGGTATCTGTCCAAGTTCTGTGGCAGCAGCATGGGGAGGGAAGGGATATAAAGAGAAAAAAAAAAATCAGGAAAAAACCGAAAACAACCCAAAGCGCTGAAGCAGCAGTGGTGGGGGCAGGTTCAGGGGATGCCAAACTGTACAACCAGTTCTTCTTTGGCGTCGACACGGATCTGTGAGAGCGCACTGAAGGCATAGGCAGCTATCCGGGACACCTGCAGGCACGAAGACATGGCTGTGTCACTGGTGGCTACTGAAACCCCCAGTTATCCCAAAGAAACTGTTGCAGGAGGTCAGCCTCCAGCCCTAACGAGTCCCTAAGCTTGTCCTGGGCTTTGCCTTCACCTCTAACAAGGCCTTAAACCTGACCTAGGCTTTGCCCTCAGCTCTAACAAGTTGTGTTAGGGTTCTGGGCAAGCCAGGAGGGCATTACTACTCCTCCAGGACGAGGATGTGTCTCTGGGGAGCATGGCAAGGGCTCAGGGCTCAGCCCAGCCCTGCTCACCTGCTGCAGGTCTGCAAAGGGAACAGGGTCGCTGGCGAGCACTTGGTGCGGCTGGTTAGTCAGGGATGGCAGCAGTGGGAGCTTCTTCCAGTGCGTCAGGTTGTTGCTGAGCATGGCCAGGCGTGTGCTGTGAGGAGAGAGCAACCAACATCAGTGCCATGCCAAGACATGGGGACATCCAGAAGATGGGTGCTGCACCCCCAGGGGGAGAAAGGGAGAGCAGTGGTGCTGCACTCCCAGCATCCAGCCCTCTTCACTCCCTGCAGCAGGAGGATGAGGGAGCTTCTAGCTCTCCCACACAGGCACCTGTCAAGCAGAAGCAGTCACATCCAGCCCCCCACCATCTGTCCCAAGGGCTGGGTGAACACAGGAGCCCTTTGTCCTGGGCTCTGCTGCCTGCACTGCCATCAGCCTTCCCTGAGCAGGCTGCACCCTGCTCTCTGAGATGAGGCAGCCCTTCTCTATGCCGAGTTCACTCCCCCAGGCCAAAACCCTGCCCAGGGACACACACAGCTGCAAAGGACTGCGGGCACCCCAGGGGAGAAGTGCAGCTCCCACCTGTACTGCCTGGCTCTGTCCATGTACTCATGCTGCTCCATGCCCTGGGAATCCGCTGCCGACACGTCGATGATGTTGCTGCAGAGACACAAGACAGTGGCTCCCACTGGAGGCTCATTGCTCCCCCTGAGTTCCCTCCCCGTCTCAGAGCATCCTCTGACCAGGGCAGACAAAGTCCAGCACCCGCCAGCACCCCAAAACAAACATCTCAAGGCCAAACTCGCCCAGCCACAAGTGTGCCACGCTGGACTGGCTGCTTGCCAGGAAGGAAATGCCAGGGACTGTTTGCCCACAGCTGCCCTGGGGCAGAGGGAGGCAGGCAGAGGCTGCAGGAAGCTGGGGGCTGGTCTGGGCTCTGGGGAGCTTGGCATGCAGCTACCTGGAGAAAAAAGGAACCACTGGGAGGACAATGTCCTTGGCAGATACCCTGAGAGCCCCTGTACCAGGCCCTGGGCTCACAGAGGACTTGGGACCTGCCCAGGGCCCTGCTGAGCCCCATTGTGTGCACCCCACAGCAAAGCAGTGCTCAGAGCTGCTGTGGCCCTGCATGCTGGACACACACCAGTGGCCACTAGCTCTGCAATGTCAGGCAGGGGAGCAGAGGGGCCTGCGAGTATCCCGAAGCCCTCCCAGCCAGGCTGGACACAGCCCTGTCCCCACATTGCCCCTGTGCATTTGAGGAAAAGCCTCCTCAGAAGGGGATGCAGTGCTGCTGCCCCTCCAGCCACCCTCTCCACATCCCCATGGATTAACTTTCTTACCCAAACCCTGCCCCTACTTCCAGCCCAGCACCCAAGGGGTTACCTCACACCTCGGGTCTTCTCTCTGTGTCCCCATGGGGCTCAAAGCTGAGGGATGGGGCTGTCTGAGGGCAGAGGGACATGGGGGGCTCTGCCACAGCTCCTCCCTTCCCCTCAGCACGTATGGCTGACCACCGGGGCCCACAGCCAGGCAGCCCCAGCTGTGTGCCACAGCCAGGGTCACCACTGTCCCCAAGGTGTGCTGCCTGCCCCAGGGGCACGGCCTGAGGGTGCTGCCTGCCCCAGGGACACGGCCTGAGGCTTACATGGCTGTTTTGGCGAGGATGGAGGACAGCATGGCCTGCTCATCGGTGCGTGCTGACGGCAGGTTGTGGTAGCTCTGCTCTGCTCCGTTCAGCACCTTGTTGGGCGGGCTGGCTGCCGGCTCCAGCAGCCGCTTTGTCTCTTCCTCCTGAGGGAAAGGCAAGAGGAAAATCAGCCCTGGATTTCCCACACCAGCAGCATTAACTCCACAGGATGAGGCAAGTCTCACCTTTCCCTCACCAGCCAGGAGGGCTCCCTGTGCATCCCAGTGTAACCCAGAACAGCCTCAGCTCTGCCAGGCACCTCTTTACCCAATTATTTTGCTTTTTCCCAGATGAAGCCCCTCCAGCCACAAAGGCAGCAAGTGTTGCTGAAATCAGGCAGCACATTTGGAGTGGCCAATCCTGCAGGCAGGAGTCTGCAGCCAGCATCAACCTGCATTAAATCCCCCAGCTAATGTGGACTTACTGTGCCCCACCCCTGACTGGGCACCACGGAGAGCCCACCCTGGCATAGCAGGGGGCTCACCTGAGCCAGGTGAACCCCACCTACCAAAGCCCAGAGTCACAGGGCATGTTCCTCCACTCACTCCAGGAGGTGCAGAGCTGCAGCCCAGCCCTCAATCCTCTGGCTTGGCTGAATGGTGCTGCAGGGGTTGTGAGAAGAGCCCAGTAGGGAGATCATGGGCACAAACACCCATGAGAACAAGATCATAGAATCAGCAAAATTGAAAAAGCCCTCTGAGCCCAACTGTTCTCCCAGCACTGCTGAGCCTACCACCAAACCATGTCCCAAGTGCCAAGTCTACATTGCTTTTAAATCCCACCAGGGTTGGGGACTCCAACACTGTTCTGGGCAGCCTGTGTCACAACTGTACAACACTTTTAGGGAAATTTTCCCGAATATCTAACCTAAACCTCCTATAGCACAACCACAGGCCCTTTCCTCCTGTCCTGCTGCTTGTTCCCGGGGAGCAGAGACCAACTTCCACCTGGCTCCACCCTCCTGTCAGGGAATTGTGGAGAGTGAGAAGGTAATCCCTGAGCCTCCTAGCAGCCTGAGCCCCCTCGGCTCCCTCAGCCACTCCTTGTGCTCCAGCCCCTTCTCCAGCTCCATTCCCTTCTCTGGACATGCTCAAGCCTTTCCATGTCTGTCTTGCCCTGAAAAGATGCTCAGCCTGTGACCCATGGTGAGCTGGGAGTGCAACCACTTCTCCACACACGCCGTCAGTGGCATCTCCAGCTCTTCCCCGGCCAGAAGCTTGCTCTCCCCTTCCTCCTGCTGGGAAACGCTGCTGCGATACTCTAGCCCAGGCCCTTCTCCTTCCTTTCTCGCCACACAAGTGGAAGCCGGCCGGGCTCCCCCTGGGACGGGCTGTCACAGCCCAGCTCCCGCCGCACCCGGATTAAGTTTCGCGGGACAGGTGACAGCCCCAGTTCTGTCCCGGCCTCGGAGTTGCGTGGCAGTCACGCTGTCCCAAGAAGGAAAAACTGGCGCTGCTCCCGCCGGTGCCGTGTGAGGCCTTGGGCTTACACCTGCAGCGGGACGGCGGGAGGGTCCGGCACGACCCCCGAGCCCCCGCCTCCAGCCCCCACACGGCACCGGGGGGACACGCACGGAACGAGTGACACGAAGGTGGCGACAGGCGGGAGCAGCGTTCAGAGACTGCCCGGGAGCGGGGAAGGGCCGGGCCCCGCCGAGGACGCGCGCCGCCTGCCCCCCCGCCACCGGGAAGCCCCGGGAGTGGGGCCGAGCGTCCCTCCCGGCGCCACCCCCGCCGCGGGCCTCGTGTTCCCCCGGCGCCAGGCCCACCTGGTCGGAGGCCTCGGCCTCGCTGCTGTAGCAGCAGCCCATGGCGAGCGCGGCCCCGGCTCCGGCACGGCCCCGCCGCCGCGCGATCACGTGAGCGCCGAGTCACGCCGGTCACGTGAGCGGCGGGGAACACACGGACACACGGACACACACACAGACAGACACACACACGGCCGCGCCCGCCGCCGGGGGCGCGCGCGGGGCCGTCACGTGGGCCGGAACGCTGCGCGCACGTGGGCTACGTCACGCGGCCCTGCGGGCGGGGTCACGTGTCTGCTGCCAGGGCACCGGCCCCCCCCCCCCGGGCGCGCTCCCGGTGCGTCCCGAGCGCGCTCCCGTGCTCAGGCGGCCTGCCCGCAGGGATCCTGGCATTCCCGGTGCCCCCGGGTTCCCAGGTGTTCCAGCGCTCAGAATATACAGTGGGGCAACAATGAGGGAGAGGGGGATACCTGGAGTGATCGTGTGTGTTGTCCCAAATAACTGTAACGTGTGATGGGGCCTGCTCTCCTGGAATAGCTGAACACCTGCTTGCCCATGCGAAGGGGTGATGTGAAAAATGCATGTATTTTATGATTGGCTTTTCGCAAATATTAAAATGAATATTATGTGTGTTGTGTTAGAAAGTAATGCTGTATTAATTCTCTTAAGTAGTGTGTTAAACATAGTTTTAGGTTGTAAGAAATGTTAAAATAGAAACGATGCTATGTAGGATACTTTTTTTTTAAAAGAAAGGACTCGCACTGAGATAGAAGCCACAGGACACCTAAATCTTTCAGAGAAAAAGAATTTATTGCCCCATTATCAGAAGAAACGAACTTCTTCCAGCCTCAAAGCCGCTGTTAGGATTCAGAGGAAGAAGTTGATGATGACCAGACAGAATCCTGTGTTTGAATGGAATTTATGCATCATGTATGAAGTGTATGAATATGCAACAGGCTATTGCTTTTAAGGGTTAGTCCTTTGTTAACAGGGGTCCCTTTTCAGGCTTGTGCTGCCTGGAAAAAGGTACACGGACATCCATCACACTTTGTCTTTATTGTCTCACATTGTCCTCATTCAATTTGTCAAATTATTATTACTCTAATTGTATTACTATTTTTATAACCATTTTATTACTATCAAACTTTTAAAATTTTAAAAACAAGTGATTGGCATTTTTCATAGGTGACTTAATTTCTTGTTTTGCTTTGTTTGTGTGTGCAGTCTTTGCTTTCCCTATTAATCTGTATTAACCTCAACCCACGAGATTTCCAGTTTTTACCATTCCAATTCTCTCCCTGATCTTTCTGATGGGGGAGTGGGCAAGTGGATGGGTTGGCTTTGGTTGCTGGCTGGACACGACTGTCCTTGTTTGTCACCCAGCACGGGGCACTAAGGGTTGAGGTAACAACAGAGTAGGTTGGAAACAAATTTGATCTCAGCATTTGCTGTATTAGGTCCAGGGTCACTGGTCACAGTGGTGCTTGGTCTGTTCATGTGGGTATGGTACCTGACCCTGGCTCTCTTTCTGTATGTGCTCCTCGGGGACCTTTTACAGAGCAGGGACAGGGATCAGCATTTCTTTGTTGCTGTACTGTGGGAGGTGAGTTTATACACGATAACACCAAGGGCAATGAGGGTACTCTGGGATGTGTATTCAGTGCTGCTCTCCTGCCCTTTGAAGTCCATTAATAACCATACCTCGTCTGGGGGGGGAACAAGGGAAGGATGATTTTCTCCATTTTCCCCCCATTTTCCTCCTTCAGGCCTGTTACAACAGCTTTTGAGCATTTTTAATCCCCTTTGGATGGTAAGAAATCCTGTTCCTGTTGGTTTCAGTGCAGTCCTCACTGTGTTCAGAGTCATCTTTGGATGCAGAAGAGAGATTTCCAAGAAGGCCATTCAGGGACCTGTCCTGAGGGGGAATAGTCATGAGTGGCATGGAACGTGTGAGAAAATTGGCCAATTGTTTGAGACGTTCTCTGCTCTGGTGGTTTGGGAGTTCACCCCTGAACAGCTACAGGACTCTGCTAAAGTGCCAGAATATTTGCAAGGAGATGCTGCATCAGCTGCAGAGATGAGCAGCTTTCTGCAGTGTGCTGGGCCCTGGCTACTCCTTATTGCACACCGGTGGTCAGTGCAGAGCACCCTCAGGGGAGGAGGAGGAGGAGGAAACAGCAACAGCGCCACGGCCACGGCAACTGCAGCTGAGCCAGGGAACAGCCCGTGCTGGGAGCAGCCACCCCTGCAGGGAACAAGGAATCCAAGACAAAACCAGCTCAGTCAGTGAGGGATGGCAGAGCAGGGCCCTCCGAACAGGGGGAGGAGGCAGGGCCAGAGAAAATCACCTGGTCCATGCCCCCAGGTGAGCTGTAAGATGTGTGAGAAGGTTCCAGCCGCCAGTTAGGTGAGCCCCCGGTGACCTGGCTACTCCAGTGCTGGGATATCTTGGCCCAGATGGAAGGGGATGGTAGTGAAGCCAAGCAGCTGGAATCCTTGTCCTGGCATGTGAACACTGACAAGGGCATTGGGAAGAGCACAAAAACTCCCAGGCTCTGCAGGCAACTCCTGCCAAGTGTGAGGGAAAGACATTGTCCCAAGGATGATCGAGTAGTGCATGGAGGCATGTGGAACCATGGAGCAAGGTACCCAGTATCTTGGAGAGAATTAGGGGTGCTGGAGGTTGAGTCTACTACAGGAATTCAAATAACAAAGTCCCCTTTAGGCCCATATGTCTGGTGTACACAGTCCTTGTGGCACAAGTTTGTACAGAGCCATTGTCATATGCCTGCTCACTGTCGAGTAAATTGGCAGAGGGAGCTTCTGGTATTGTCTGGTGGTTGGAAAGGGGTCTTCCATGTGAATCTTTTCTTGTACCCTTTGTCATTAATATTGTTGCTGTTACTGTTCATTTTCTTATAGCCAGTAAATTGTTCTTATCTCAACCTGAGATCTTTACCTTTTGTGCCTCCTCTCCATCCTGCCCCTGTGGGAAAGGGGAAAGGAAAGCAGGGGAGTGAGAGAATGGACATAGTTTGGAGGGTCTCAGTGGGGGCACTGAACATGGAAGAGTACCATTCCTAAACCACAATAGATGCTAGTGCCCCAACCCTCCAGACCCCCAGTGCTCCCAATGCCCCCATGCTCTCTGTGCCCATAGTGTCCCCAAGGCTCCACTGATTAGGGCTCCCAGGTGCTTCTGGCTCCCCGTGCTCCTGTTGCCCAGTGCTTCCAGTACCCAGTATTCCCAGTGCACAGTGACAGGACTCCAGTTCCAGTATCAGGACCACAGCTCCTAGCACTACACACCAGTATTGGGACCCCAGCCATGATACTGGTACCCCAGGCCCCAGTATCAGCACCCCAGCTCCAGTATCATCACCCCAGCCCCCTTGTGCAGCCCAGGACCACCTCCCTGCCCCAGCCTGGCCCCGTCTCAGTTGCCAGCCCCACTGAGCTGGTAACCGGAGCTCTGATAGCAGCTGCAGCTGTGGTGACACCATCAATAATTAAGTGGCAGCAGGGCTCCACACAGGACTGCCTGCCTCTGCCTGCCTGGAGTGTGGGGACAGGTAGGTGCCACCCCCATTGCCCTACCCTGTCACTGTGGCTGGGCACCCCCAACAGCTCAGGGTGTGGGGAGCAGGGTGTGGGGAGCAGGGTGTGAGGTACAGAATATGGGGGATGGGAGCAGCAAAGCTGGACCAAGGGAGGTGCAAAGGGTTGTGCTGAACAAGGCCCCTCACAGCAGCACAATCCCCTGGGATGCCAGCCCAGCAAACCCCAATATCTGGACCCTGGCAGGTGGGTCCCCAGCACTCCCCAGCCCTGGCACAGGGATCTCCACAGCATCCTGGGATGCCTCAGCCCTACAGGCCCAGCAGCACTGGAGCCCAGTGAGAGGTACTTCCAGGGGATGCACAGCACAGCACAGCCAACTCCTGGCATGAGTGGGAGCTGTGAGGCTCCCTGGGAGGACACCCTCACAGCATCCCGTGACAGCATAGATTTGCCTTGTTGTGGCTTAAGGGCTCACAATGCTTCAATGATCTCTGCACAGGGGAGATTTTCAAAGCCTGGGCCCAAGGTTATGCTACTGATAGTGGACACAAAGGGTGCAAAACTTCCCATTTGGCAGAATTCCCAAGATAAGTACGAAACTAACAAAGTCAACTAACCAAAAGCACAGCCTGCTCGCTTGTGATGGTGTCTCCAGCGATTGCCCTCGCCTTCCTCCCCTTCATTGTCACCCTGCTGATCCGGTACCGGCACTACCTGGTGCTGCTGTACCGGGCAGTGCTGGTGGCCTGGCTGCGGGACCGGCTCACCGGCACCTCGCGGGAGCAGCGTGCCTTCCAGTACGTGCTGGCCCATGCCATCCCTGGGGACCCCCACCATATCCTCCAGACCTTCGATCAGTGGTGCTACCACTGTGAGCACCTCAGCTGTGTGGGGCCCGACAAAGGTGAGTGCCACCCTTGCTTGTCCACACCACACAGAGCATGGCACTGGGCATGGCCATGGCACCACTGATATGGCCATGGCATTGCCAGCATGGTCACAGCACCACTGGCATGGCTGTGATAGTGTTGGTGTGATCACAGCACTATTGGCATGGCAGTGGCATTGTTGATATAGCCATAGTATTGTTGGCATGATTGTGGCACCAGTGAGCCATGGCACTGTTGATATGGCTGTGGCATCATTGACATGGCTGTGGCATTTTTGGCATGGGTGTCCTCCATCCCTCTGGGCCCTGGGAACTGCTTGGCACCTTTGCCCTGCCCAGGGCTGGGGTGGCACAGACTGGGTGCTGAGAGGCACGTGCCACGGCAGGGCGGATCGTGGAGCGGGTGCTGCTGGAGCGGGCACCGCTGCGGGTGCTGGAGCTGGGCACATACTGTGGCTATGGCACCGTGCTGCTGGCACAGGGGCTGCCCCCAGGTGCCCGCCTCTACACCATCGAGGGTGACCCCCGACACGCTGCCGTGGCCGAGAAGGTGATCCGCCTGGCTGGCTTCAGCGAGCAGACGGTGAGCACCCGGGCACTGGGATAAAGCCCAGCTCTGCACGGGAAACCAGGGAGGAGATGGGTGGGGGGTCCTTTGCTGCTGGGACTGAGGTACCTGCGGGGTAGTGCATGTGGGAAGATTCTGCTCCATGTGAAGCAGGGGGGTGGGTGGGCACGCTGCCTCCCCACCCCAGTGACTGAGGGTGATGCAGCACAGGTGGAGCTGATCGTGGGCCCCTCGGAGGAGGTGATACCCCGCCTGCGGGAGAAGCACGGCCTGATGAACGCCAACTTGGTCTTCATGGATCACTGGAAACGCAGCTACCTGCGGGATCTACGGCTGCTGGAGAGCCACCAGCTGCTGGCTGAGGGGGCCACCATCCTGGCTGATAACGTCCTCTTCCCTGGGGCACCCCACTTCCTGCAGTACGCCAAGACCTGCGGCAAATACCACTGCAAGGTGCACCGCGCCAGCCTGGAGTACTTCCGCACCATTCCCGACGGGATCGCTGAGCTCCGCTACACCGGCACCCACTGAGCGGGCACCTCCTGCCCCGTGGTGGCCACGGTCACCGTGGCAGGGCCAGGTCCCCAAACCCTGCCTGGGCTTCAACAAGGGCTCTGCAGGAAATGCGCTGGCTGCTGTGGTCTGTGCTGGGTGCGGTGGGTAGGGAGGGGCTCATTCCCTGTAGAGCTCCTGCCTGCACGGCACAGGGAGCTGGGCCAGGCACACCAGTGGATGGTGGGGAGCAGCCCTGTGCCCTGCCTGCCCTGGTGGCCTCAGACACCAGATTTGGGGTTGTTTTCTTGAAAACTGAGTTTATTAGAAAAGATGTGTCAGTCCCAATATGCCAGGTGGCAGTGTCCCCTCTGGCTCCCCTGGGGGGCTTCGCTCTGAACCTGCTGCCCCACACAGCACCCATGGCAGGAGGAGCTTCACTGAACTGTCCCCCAGAGCCGTGGGGGGCAAAAGCTCTCCCCCAGCCTCTGGTCCGGTGTGGTTGTGGTAGAATCAGATCATCCACTGGTCCTGATCCTGCTCTGTCCCCTCCATGTCCACCTGGGAAAAAAAGAGGTTTGAGATCTCCCTCAGAGCAAGAACTTAATAAGAGGGTGTGAAGGAGAGAAGACAGCCCCCGGAGCTCATGCTCAGGGTCCCACATACTTCACATCCCCTGCTTTGGGGTATCACACTATTTACCTCATTGATCTCCCCATCATCAGGAGACTCATTATAATCATTCATCTCATCCATATCCTGCATGTCCTCATCATCTTCTGAGTCCTCTTCGCTGTCTTCATCATCTTCATCATCCTCCTCCTCCTCCTCATCATAGTGCTGTGGACACAACAGCTTCAGCAACCCCGTCTGCCCCTCAAGCCCTGTGGCACCCCCCCCTTCCCTGTGCACACACCCACCTCGGATGCTGGCTTTCCTATGGGCACCAAGTTGTTGTCCTTCTCAGCAATGCTCTGGAGCTGGGGAAGGGAGAGAGGGGGGCTGAGCACTCCAACAGCTCCATGACACCCCAGCAACCAGGCCCTTCTGGCTCAGCTGCTGGATTAGTGTGGCTGACTGACCATGCCTAGAGTCCTGCTGCCTCCCTGGCATCCCCCAGCCAAGCAGGGAAAAGCAGCTTTAACACCCTGCCTGAACACCCTGACACCAAGCAGGGTGATCTCAATGACACTCTGGTGCTGAGAGGGGTCGAGGTGTCCCCATGTGTGGCATCAGAAGCCCAAAAACAAAGTTTATGTATTTCTTCATCAAAAAATAACCAAATCTGGGACATCTGATCAGCCAGACAAACACAACCACAGCAGATAATTAAAGCTCAATTAAAATACGTCAGCATCTCCCACCCAGAGGGACTTGGAACCTCTTCTACGTGCTGGGGTTTTAAATTGATTTAAACTTTATTATTTAATTATAAAAACTTAATTACTGATTTTTTTTCTAAACTTTAATCAAATAGATGTTCTTCCCCCCATACTCAGGGGCACTGCAGCACCAAAACACGCTCACAGCACAAACCCTTGTCAGTTACCAGGTTCAGAAATCGCTCCTCGCCTCCCTCGGGAAATTAGTTAATTTATTATTTGGGAGCTAGTGCAGGAGTCTCGGTTCAGCAGCATCTTATTCATTAACCCCCCCACAGTAACCGGGGAGCTCCGGTAACAGCCCACACCGAGCCGGTGTGACACACGGATGACGGACACGAGAGCAGCGGTGCCCGAGCCGGCAGCACCGGCACAGGACGCTGAAACATGGGCACAGTCGGTGAACACCCGGGGGGAGCCACGCAGCGGAGCAGCCCCGTGTCCCGGGACACCCGGGCTGCAGCGAGCACCGCGGCCGTGCCCGCTGAAGTAGCTGGGGCCGCTTCCCCGGCCCCGAACCCTTCCCCGGCCTCCTGACACCCGGCCCCGCGGCCTCACGGCTCCCCGCCACGCCGGTGCCCACCCAGGCCTGGTGCTGCTGCTCCTGCTGCTGCAGCTCGGTCTCGTCAACGCATGGCCGGTCGAGGTTGAACCAGAGGGACTCGGTGAGGCGGGGCAGGAGTGAGGGGAACAGAGTGGACATGGCGGGGGCACCGGGAGCAGCGCCAGGCCGGCGCCAGCCGCCCTGCCGGAAACGGAAGCCGACCCGGAACCAGTTATAGGGCACGGGGCATGCGCAGAAGGAGTGCAGGCCCACAAGGGGGAGAACGAGTGAGGCGTGGCCTAGGACGCCGTCTGGGGTGGGGCGCCGTTTGATTGACAGGTGATGGTCTGGGCCCCCTCCGGTCTGGGGCCGCTGTGAGGGCCCGGGCGTAGGTGAGCAGCGCCGAGTCATCTGTGACCCCCGTCAGGGGGTATTTGTGATCCCCACGGAATATCTGTGCCCCCCGTCAGGGGGTATTTGTGACTAACGGTGGGTATGTGAGCCCCACAGGTACCAGTGACCCCAGTGAGGAGGTATCTGTGATGCTGGTGGGGTATCTGCTCCTGTGGGGGCAACTGTCATCCATGGCTGGGGGTATCTGTCACCTGTGAGGGGGGTATCTGTCATCTCTGAGGAGGGGTATCTTCCCCCCTCCTCAGGGCATCTGTGATCCCCGGAGCATGTCTGCCCCCCCCCCCCCCAATACGTGTGACCTTGGAAGTATCCGTCCCTTGCAGGGTATTTTCCCCCCCTGTGCCCCTCCCCGACGGAGGCATGTCTCACTCTGAAGGGTTCCTGTCCCTCCCAAGCCACAGTGACTGCTGTCCTGTGGAGTATCTGCTCCCCGCTCCATGGGATCTGTGATCCCCTGAGTACCTGGAACTCAATGAGGGGTACTTGCCTCTACCCTGTGGCCATCTGTGACCAAGCCAGGGTACCTGTCCCTGCCAGCAACATCTCTTATCCACTGTGATGTTCCCCCCCAGACACTCAGAGGGACCCTGTGGTGCTGGGGGGCCAGGTCCTGCCCCTTGTGCTGGTGTCAGGGAGTCAGGCCACCTCCCACAGGAGGGAAGGAAAAACAGCCATAAGTGGATTTTGGCTGGTGCTGGCCCCAGCCCGGCGCCAGGAGGATGAATCCCAGCTGCATGTGGGGCTGATGAGGGGCCAGGATGGGCACGAGTGTCAGTCCAGGACACAGTGGGGAGCCAGGGCGGGGTGCACTGTCTCCTCCGTGCCCTCAGTGCTGCCCAATCCGCTGCATTCCTGCGTCCCGTGATCAGTGGCTACGGGTTGTGCTGCACCACGACCTTTGAGATGAGCTGTGCTCGTTCCACGGCACCTGGAGCCCAGCTGCCCCTCAGGTAAGAGCCCTGGCACCCCCAGGTAAGATCCCAGACCCCACTCTTGGTGGTCATGGGCAGTGACCATGTGCTGCCGTGCTTCCACATGCGCAGCCGGGGACTTTGTCCCTGCTGTGACCGCGTCTCAGTGCTGCTGTCCTGACCTGCTGTCGCCCTGGCAGAGCAATGGCAGCGGTGTTGGCTCTGCTGGTGGCCTGGCCAGCTGCCACCACAGCAGTGACGGTGACACAGGACTCGCTGCTCAACGTCTGCATGGATGCCAAGCACCACAAAACAGAGCCTGGCCCTGAGGGGCAGCTCTACGGGCAGGTACGGTCCTCATCCACTGCACCAGCACCCACTGGTGCTGTGGGGTCACCAGGATGGAGGCTGGGGGGCTCTGTGCCCCAACATGAATTCCATCACCCAGTGCCACCCAGTCACGGGCACTGGTGCTTTTCCTGGACCTGCAGCAGGTCCCAGCTGAGCCCTGGTGGCTCCTGATGGGTCCCAGCTGAGCCCTGGCTGCCCTGGTGCAGTGTGTCCTCTGGAAGGACAATGCCTGCTGCACTGCCAACACCAGTCTGGAAGCTCACCGGGACCAGTCCTACCTGTACAACTTCAACTGGGACCACTGTGGGGCCATGCCAGAGAAGTGCAAGCGCCACTTCATCCAGGACACGTGTCTCTATGAGTGTTCCCCTAACCTGGGGCCATGGATCGACCAGGTAGGTGCAGACCCTGCCCTCACCCACCCGCCAGGATCCCTGGGGTGAACTGGGGGAAACTGGGGGCCCTGCAGGCAGACACCAGCTGGCGGAAGGAGCGGATCCGGGATGTGCCACTGTGCCAGGAGGACTGTGAACAGTGGTGGGAGGATTGCCAGGATGCTGTCACCTGCAAGGTCAACTGGCACAAGGGCTGGAACTGGACTACAGGTGAGTGGGGGTTGCAGGGCACCCCCCATCATGCCTCGACCCCCCTGTGGGTCTCCTCTCACCCTCCATCTTGATGCAGGGGAGGCTGTGTCCACCCTCCCTGGTGGCTGTGAGTGGGTTCGGAGGTGTGAGGGTCCCCATGGGGTGGGGGTGGCAGTCAGGTGGGAGTCCCCTGTGCATGTGAGCGGGTCAGGGGGTGTGAGGGTCCTCATGGGGTGTGGGGTAATGCGGTGTGAGACCCTGTGGCACCTTGAGGTCAACTCTCTCTTCCCCAGCAATGCCAGTGGGACCCATGTGCACCCCAACACCCATTTCCCAGAGCCCTTCACTCACTTCACCCTCTGCCCACCCCCAGGCACCAACCAGTGTCCCAAGGGCGCCATGTGCCAGAAGTTCAAGTTTGTGTTCCCCACGGCGGCTGCGCTCTGCGAGCAGGTCTGGTCTGGCTCCTACCGCTACACATCCCACCACCGTGGCAGCGGCCGCTGCATCCAGATGTGGTTCGACCCCGCGCAGGGGAACCCCAATGTTGCCGTCGCCCAATATTACGCCCATGGCGATGCTCCCCCAAACTCCCCGCACTCTATCCTGCTCTCCTTGCTGCCCCTCATCCTACTGGCCCTGCTCTGAGCAGGAGGGGCTGCAGGCAGGAGCAGGCAGTAGATGGTCAGGGGGGTCTCCAGGCTGCCTTGTGCCTCTCCATGGGGTGTCCCCAAGCTGTGTCCCCGCCCGAGGCATGTGGCTCATGAATAAATGCTGCTGCCCTGCTTGGTCTTGGGGTGTTGTGTGATGGGTGTGGGGGTCAATAGGATGGTTGAGGGACCTGGGGGTGTCTGCTTGTCCCATCCTGCTTCTGGTGGGGAGATGAAGCAGACATCACTCCTATTCATTTGTACCGACCAACCTGGCTATCCAGCACTGCTTCCCCCAAACCACTGCACAGGCACAGGGCTGCCTGCCACTGGGGCCCAGTAGGATGGGATCCATGAATGTGTCCTAGCACCTGACACGGCTCCAGGGCCCCAGGTGTCACTGACACCCTGGGGTGCACAGGATGACACTGGGAAAATTATGGGCAAAAAGGGGAGGATATCCCGGGGACCCTGAGGTGGGAGCATGGTTGTCAACGGAGTTCTGCTGGCCCAGAGCCCACCCCAGTTGTCCCTTTTCCCCCCACATGCTCCATGTTCCCAGCTGTGGAGTGGCACTTTCCCTATCCCTGGCCCATGGAGAAGTCCCCGGTTTTGGTGGTGAAACCGGGTCGCGCCTCCCATTTCTTCAGCCCCCGGCCCCAGCCCTGCCCCACCGCGGCCCCCCTTTCCCCGGCTCCCCGGTACCTTCACACCACGGTGCCCCCACTCGTCCCTTCGGTATGCCCCGGGTGCTCCCCTGGTGCCCCTATCTCTCCAAGTGCTTTCCCCCTCCCGGGTGCTTCCCGTCCCGGTGCTCCTCATCCTCCCCGTGCTCTCCAGTGCTGCTGCCCGCTACCCGCTGCTCTCCGCCCCTTGGTGTCGCTGCCCCTCGGTCAGACCCCCCAATGCCCCCCTGAACATCCTACTTAGGGCCCCTGATCTGCCCCGGTGCCTCTCGGGTGCGCCCCCAGGACCCCACCAGTGCTCTCCCGGTGTTCCCCCGAGCTCCCCCTGCTGCTCCCCCAGGATCCCCGCGGGTCCCCTCCCGCGATCGCCTCTTACGGTGGCCACCACCGGATCTCTCCCGTGGGCCCCCGGGTACCTCATCGGTGCCCCCCTGGGGCCCACGGCGCCCCCAGCCCCCGAAGCCCTCCCCTGTCCCCGGGATGTCCCCGTCCCCCACCTTTCCCCGCCCCGCTGCCCGCCCCTCGCCTCCCCCTCCCCCTCAGAGCGCGGCCCCGCGGCGCGGCCCCGGCGGCGGAGCATGGCGGGCGCGGGGGGCGCGGGGGGCGCGGGAGGAGCGGCCCCGGTGCCGGTGCCCCCCTGGTACCACCGGGACCTGAGCCGGGCGGCGGCCGAGGAGCAGCTGGCGCGGGCCGGGCGGGACGGCAGCTTCCTGGTGCGGGACAGCGAAAGCGTGGCGGGGGCCTACGCGCTCTGCCTGCTGTGAGTGGGGTACAGGCGGGGGGGTGCCGGGGGGACACCCCCGCGGTGCCGGCGGGGCATGGGGGGACAGCCGGGAGCGGCCATCGGGGGTGCCTGGAGGGGGTGCAGCGGGAGGGAACCGGCGCGGGGCCGGGGGAGCTGCGGAGGCACGGGCAGGGAGTCGGGGGGAGGACCGGGGGCGACCATGGCAGAGCTGCAGGGGGCAGCTTGAGGGGGCACCGGCGAGAGCTTTGGGGGGATCCCGGGAGAAACGGGGCGGGGGTACCGGGGGAGAGTGGGGCGTAGGAGTGGAAGTGTTCAGGGCGGCACCAGAGGGGCCTCGGGGATGGTCCGGGGAGAGCAGGGGGTCGGGAGGGCAGCCGGGGGTGGCTCCTGGGCCAGTAGAAGGGAAGATTTGGGGGAGCGCCAGAGAGGTACCGGGGAGAGCACTGAGGCGTCATGGTGGGGTCACTGCAGGGATTCGGGGGAGCACTGTGGTACGCAGGGCGAGTGTCCAAGGAAGCACTGGCACAGCACCGGGAAGAACGGTGGGAGAGGCACCGACGGCGGGAGGGGGGCGCCAAGGAAGCACAGACAGGGGAGGAATCGCTGGAAGGGATCCAGGGGAGCACGCAGGGAGCATTGTTGGGGAAGGGGGGGACACCAAGAGGGCAACAGACAGAGAGGGAAAGCCACCTGAGGGACACAGCGAACACGGGGGTCACCAATACTGTGGGGGTTGCTAGGAATTTGGGCACAGGGAGGCTGAGACAGTTCTGGTCAGTGGGTGCTGGGGGGGCACGGACACAGGGAGACCTGGGGTACAGGTGAGGTACACTGGCACTTCTGGGACATGGCACCAGGGCAGTGGCATCTGCTGTG